GAAGGAAGGAAGGAAGGAAGGAAGGAAGGAAGGAAGGAAGGAAGGAAAGAGGGAGGGAGGGAGGGAGGGAAGGAGTTATGAGTGTGGTATTGTGCATGAGAATTAAAGCTTAACATGCTTGAAAGTTGATTAATTGCTTATGATGGAAACATGTGAGATTCTTATGCATGCAATTTCCCCACCCCTTCCTTTACATCAGTGTTGTCAAACTTAAGGCCCAGAGGCCAGATCCAGGCCAGATCAATCCCACCGGGCTGCCCTGGAAACAGCAGATTGGCCCGCAGTGCCTCTTGTCAGCCTCCATGATGCTTCCTTGCTGTTGGTTGTCACAGAAACAGGGAGGGGGGAAGTTTGGCATGGCGGAGGGGAGTTTTCTGGAGAATGGAGATGATGTCTGTGTGAACCAAGTGTGGGGGGATGCTCTCATGCTCACTGCGCAACTGCATGGACGTGTTTATGCCCAGCCAAGGTCAACTGTCTCAGTATACCAGGGGGAAAAACACCTGAAGATGTACCCCACATGACACCATACCACTGAAGATTTGACGTCCAGTCTGGATCCTTGGGGGAGGGAACTTGGAATAACTTTCAATATGTAATTTTTGCGCCTATTGCCTCAAAACTTGCTTTTCTTTCGTTGCTATCACTTCTAACTCAGTAAAAGTACCTTTTCTCTACAAACATGGAGTTGGAGGATTTCTTTCTTTGGTTTTGAATGGAGACACATCTGACATTAAGAAAGATCTGCTTTATCAGCCAACCCAGTGATAAATTCTACCATGGGGGCTGAGCAAACAATGTCTAACCAAGGCAGCAATCAGGAGGACCTGGAAGCCGCTGGGTCAACCCCCTCCAGTCCCACCAGGGGAGGGAGAAAACTGAATGGCTGCCAGAATTGCAAACTGAGAAGCCAGTCCCAGCCAAATGGTCATTAGGTGTAGGACAAATGAAGATTCCTGAAGAGCTTCCCTCTGGAGTAACTGCTGCCAGATGCTGGCATGGAGAGGCTGCTTGGCAGGAGGATGACAAAGAAGATCTCCTGTTGACTCAGGCCCTGCATCTCCTACACAAAGCTCTTGAGAATTGGAGAGCAGGGGGAAAGGTATGCTTTGCCTACACGTGAAGAGGCTGGGGAAGCGCCGGACTGTTGCTGTTGCTGGCCCTGGCTGAGCTAAAGGAACCACTTCTGGGTTAGCAAAGGCTTCTCCTTTAGCTCAGCCAGGGCCAGCAACAGCAACAGCTCCAGGAATTCAAGAGGCTTCATACCCAGCCCCCCCATGGGGGGGGGGGCAGTCCCCCAGAGGTGCCAAATTCCAAAGGTTCCTCTGATGGAAGTAAAATATGAAGATCCTAAAGTTCTGGGATTTTTCCTAGCCCAAGTTTGGAATCAAGCCCTCCGAGCCCATTTTGAAGAGCCCCTTGCTGAACATAAGGCAAGGATCAGGATGAAAACCATAAACTAGGGGTGAAGGTCGGTGGCTGTATATACCCAGGAGTTTTGTGAGTTGGCATGCCATATGTGTGGGTGGTCCCAAGAGGCTCTACAAAGATGGTGTCAATCTCTGCCAAGAACTGGAGACTTCAATCAATAAACCATGTTACTCACACTTGTAGAGTTGAAATTGAAGAGTTTATTGCTGTGTTCCCAATCGTGGCTAAGAGCTGTAACAACGAATGTCCGTGTAAAGTCAGCATCGAAAAGTTAACTCCCAACATTGTTTTATCCATCCCTGTCCAATTACCTCTGCCCCACCCTAAACTGCCCATTACCTAATTATCCACGCCACCACCCTGTGCCTAATTACACCACGCCTAAGCTAATATTATGTTCCTCCCTTCAACCTATCTCCTATTATTATCCTAAATAACAATGATCACTTCGCTTCACAAGCCCAGCACTGTGTTAAAGCCAAACAGTGTTAAAGCCAAACATTGCAAAAAGACATCCATCTGTATTATCTGAGTTCCAAGGCTACACAGCCCTCCTACATTCCAAAGTTGACTTCTGAGGCTGTGAAATGTCACCCACAACCCTCCCTCCCTTCTTTGCTGGTCTGGATCGGCTGCCTGCCAAGTTGCAATGCTGGACTTGAAGTGCAGATCAGGGATTCACAGCTATCAGAGATTCCCAGCTCCAAGGCACAGCTGTAATGTCGGGCTTCAGGACGCTGGTAAGATGTAGAGCCCGACAGATGGGCTCAATGAGATGTAAAGCTGTATCTCCCAAGGGGCTCCTCGAGACCTTCAGCACTGGTATTTGTTGGCAGCTGATGTGGAGATTGATCTGGCCAGAAACTGGCACCGTGGGGGCCAAAACTGGAAGAAGTCTCCACCTTCTACCCTGAGAGAGGCCCCTAGAGCTACTAGAAACAGATCAGCTGCAAAATCAAGGTCCACGGCTTGTTTCAGATATGGGAAGGAGGGGCATCGAGCTGCTGATTGTCTTGCAAAACTGGATTAAAACCAACACCCGCTGGAGGGAAGAAGGTCGAAAAGCTGCCAGCCAAACATCTTGAAACAGCCCTGAAGGGCATGGAAGTCTTTTTTATTTATTTTTTTGAAAATTTTATTGATTTTTAAGAACAAACGTAAACAAACAAAACATAAAACATCTTTTTTGAAAGCAGCATAATCCCGGGTTACATCTCTTCGTACAGACAAATTCAAATTCATGCTCATTTTTATATTCCATTCCATATCTTATTACTATTCTACATTTTCTCTATAGCTTCTCCCCTTTTTTCACTTTCTTAATTTTATTTTATTTATTTCATCTCAATTCAGATCATTATACTTATATTCTTTGTCTGTCCTGTTTCAACTGTCTACTATCTTTTCTCATTAAACAAAATTTCTCCTGTAATCACTGATTGGGATTTATAGGCACTGATTGCCTTTACATCTTTCCCCTAAAATATAACACTTAATATAATACATAATTTCCATTCAGATTCTGCTTGGTACATGCTAAAGCTACACACTGTATTTTGAAAAAAGAAAAAATTATAAATATATAATATAATTAAAACAACAATCCATTCCAATTCAATTTTATCATTAATATTAATATTCATTTAAATCTTATCATTTTACACATTACTTTTCAAATAGGTATCATACTTCTATGGGAACACTTATAAACTTTCCATAGTTAATTCCCCCACTCTTCACTTATATTTTAATAAAACATTGAGTAATTAAAATGTTCCCGTTCTTTCCTAATTCAGTTTTCTCATTTATTTTATTTCATTTATTTTATTCACAAAAATTTCACTAAGTTACACTAAGTATTTTATCCCTCTTTTTAATCACATGTTGTTTCCAATTTTCTAACATTGTTTCTATTACAAATATAACAATACAATCTTATGTATCTTTACAGAATCCCTTTTTCAGTTAAATTTTCACCCATTATCTCTGAATAGGTCGTTTCTTTACATCTTGCTCCAAACCTTTGTAACTTCTCTTCCTTTCCTTTTTCCCTCTCTTCTTCTCTCTCCCCTTTTTACCCCCCTGTCTCTCCACCTCCATTTCCCTCTTCTGTATTCCCTTTTCTGTTGCTTTCCAACATTATATCCCCTTTTCAAATTATTTTTCCCTTTTTGGGGTGTTTTTTTAAGTCTTAAATTCTCCATTCTCTTTCCCCCCTTTTCCCTTTCTTCCCCAGATAGAATTACTTGTTCATTAAAAATGGCTTCTTCTTTGTCCCCATCTTCTTGTTGCACAGTCTTTTCTTGTAGTTTCTCGTAGGTACAGATCGCCATTTCTAAGAATTGAAAAACGGAGCCAAAAGAGCCCTTCCCTTCTTGTGACTCTTCTTTATATTTTTTAAATTCCATTTTCAGTTCATCCAGAAGTGATGCCATTGTTAAAAAATTTAAACCACCACCCAATTGTTTTTAGTCATTCATATATAATATCCAAAAGTCCAAAAGTCACCAAGAATCCAAATACACACAAGCTGTTTCTTTTTACACTTCTTCTTTTTTCACTTTCTCTTCCTGGGGTTACTATTTAGTTACAAAGTTCCAGTTAAAAAGTATCTTTTAGAAGTCTTATTGAGATTTTACTTTAGATTCTTTTAAAGTCTAGGCAGTCTCCTCCCTCCAGATCCTGCCCTTATTTCTTTTCCTCTCCCTTCCTGCTTATAGAGAAAAAATTTTTTAGTGTTCAGAAATCTTTACTGTCCCTTTGGCATTTAATTATATTTCCAGCTTAATTGCCTATTAGTGCCAAAGCGGATTTTTCCGATTTCTTATTCAGTTCTCTTCATTGTCAATGGAAGGAGAGAGAAGGAAAAAAAAAACCTTCCCTTTTCACTTTCATTCGCTGCTTCCAACTCTTCTTTGGGAGCGATGTTATCGTTTATAAAATTTAAATTCCAGGGTACCTTAGTTGTTGCTTTTTAACCCGGTCAGCCAAAACTTTCACTTCTTATCTTCCTCCTGAACTTTCTTTTCCGGTTGAGTGCTTCTTTGAGGTGGCCATTTCTGACCACCGCTCCTACCGCCTTCGGGAAAGGGAGTTTGACCAGCTGAAGAGGAGAGATGCGGCTCTCCTCGACCCTTCTGGCGATCTCCCCCTTCTTCACCACCTCTACGGGGTGGCTTAGCCCCAAAGCCAGCTGACTTGGGGCGCTCCAGCAGCGAGCCCAGGCAGAAACCATGCACGATCGTGGATTCCTGCCTGCTGCCGAAGCCCTGCAAACCAGAAGTCGGCATGGAAGTCCTTGAGTTCGCTCCTCTGGAACAGGAGTTGGGAACTCGACCACTCCAGGGGAGAGCAAAACCAACTCTGACCTGCTGGTAAGTTGACAAGTGGGCCCCATGACCATCCCAGTGGAGTTAAGGGTGCCTTCATCTGGCACCCAAGGGAAGATGTTAGCCCTTTTGGACTCTGGGTGTACAAGGTGCGTAATTAGCAGTGGTAGAGAAACTAGGGCTGAGACTAAGGACATTGAAAGTGCCCATAGCATTTTGCCAGTTGGATGGATCAGTAGCTGGGGGTGGCCCGGGTCACTTTGTGATGGAGCTAGTGGAAATGTGGATAGGGGACCACTGAGAGACTTTGTGTTTTATTGTGGCCCCTGGGGTGGAGCGTCCCCTCCTACTTGGATTGCCCTGGCTCTGGAAATGAAATCGTCATGTAAACTGGAGGAAGGGATTGTTGTGCATTGGTCCCATCCAGCCGCAGGGGGGGAAGTCCCTCAGTTATAGCCAAGACCATAAGAGAGTTGGCATCAGTGGCAAGTGAACACATAGCTGGGGAGGAGAAAATCCCAAAGGAATATTGGGACCTCAGGGAGGCATTCAGCGAAAGGGCTTCAGATGTGCTCCTACCTCATCACTCCACAGACTGCAGCAGACAGATCCTCCCTCCCTAAGCCAAAGCTCTACTCTATGACCCCATGAGAGCTAGAAGAATTGCGAACTTTTATTGATAAAAACCTAACCGCTAGGCCACGAATGGCTGCCCTGGTGTTATTCTGTGAAAAAAAATATGGTTCTTATCATCTCTGCGTTGACTACAAAAATCTTTTACTTTTACTCAGTGAAAGTACCTTTTATCTACAAACATGGAATTGGGGGATTTCTTTCTTGGGTTTTGAATGGAGGCATGTCTGACTCTCTCTGTCAATGAAAATGGACATTTTCTGCCATGATGGCCTCCTGCAGCCCTCTGCCAGTAAAAACAGAGCTCTGTCGTGGAAAAAAATGGGGCCTGGAGGGAGACACAGCCCACTCGAGCTCTGTTTTCACTGGCAGGAGGCTGCAGGAGGTTGTTGCGGCTGAAAATGGAGATCGGGAGTCTGTTTTTGCTGGTAGAGTGCTCAGGCCACCACAGGCGCCCCCGACATGAGTGATGTCAAGCTGGCCATGCCCACCCTGGCCATGCCTATCCTGGCCCCCGAGATCGAAAACAATCCTGATGCAGCCTTCAATGAAATCGAGTTTGACACCCCTGCTTTACATAGTACCCTTTTCTACCTACTTCATTTTTAAAAGGTTATTGTCCCTTTGGAATGAGATTCCCCTGCAAAATTTAAAGAAGTCCCACCCTATTGGTATTTCAAAGGGCCTTAAAGATCTGAAAATGCCTTAAAAATCAGGTTATTCGCTCAGGTCTTTGGAGTAGATGCCCCTTTCTGTTTCCCCTGGTTTGTTTGTCCCCTCCATCATTATTCTTTCATTTTGTGCTTTTTTATATGCTTTGTTTTTAAATGTTTTAACAATTGTAAATTGCCCAGCGTTGCTAAGAGTTGGGTGGTATATAAATTAAATTAACTGTTATTAACTGTTCACAACAATGTGAAATCAAAGTTGCTGGTTCTTTTGCTATTGGCCTTCATATGCATGAGTCTTTAGATGGCTTACAATATATACATAGAAGTTTGTTATTTAATTGAACTTAAATAGTTCCTATCCATATCACTCATTAATAATGAATTTAATATTGTATACTATACTCTTCTTTACATGTTATTGTAACTCTGGCATTTTATTAATTCTTTTTCTTGGAATCAAAAATATACTGTAAAATTGAAAAAAAATGCTTGCATGACTGTGAAAACTTTTCCTTATTGAATTTGACTTATATTTGATAAATTTAAAGAAATAGCATACTGTACTTTGGTATTAGAAGAATCTCTCCTTCAGCAGATCTGATCATTAAAATCACTGGAGGTGTCTGATGTTGCGGTCGTATATATAACTTCCTCACGTTTGAAAAACATTTCATAAGATGAGGCTGTATCACAGATATGAGGCAAATATTATTTATTTGATGGATGAATTAGAAAGTAATGATAAAAATTATTTGTTCACAAGTTAAAATGTTAGAAAGACAATAAAATTAGTAATTTGAATAAGATATTTAAAAATACATGATTGCATTAAAATGGCTAAACTGACAAAAGTCATTTTATATATCTGATAATGAACATTACCTGTACAACATCAGGATTTTTACTTTCAGCTACTATTTCAAGGAGTTCTGCATTGCTGAGAAAATAAAATCTTGGGAAAATCATACGTTTAACTTCAAGATACTCCTGATGGAAAATTAAAAAGTAGATTTTTAATATTAAAAATAATAAAGTGAAATAAAATTAGAAACTATAATGAGCTTGTTTTTCACTGTCTTCAGTTTTATCAGAACAACTTAAGTGCAATATTTAGTTCAAAAAAGACAGTGCAGCTATGTAATTTTTCTAGATAAGGTTAGTGGGACAAGATGTCATATGCTCAGTAGTATGCTGGCAAATATTTAACAACCAGCTGTTCAGGAGCATTGTGGACAGACACACCATACCACTACCATCAAACAGCTAGTTAGCATGTCAGCCATTGTAGTTCAACTAACCGTATAACTATACTCTCAAACAATTCACAAAATGTCAGGTATGAATTTAACAATTGGCTCTCAAAAGCTATTATGAGCCAGTTCCAGCACACCACTGCTCATACTGAAGATACATTTTTTACACACAATACCAATATAAAACATGTATCTCCAGTACATGTCATCCTCACCCACTAACAATCTTTGTTTAATGCAATAAACTAGAACTTTTCATATAAACTGTTTTTCATCAGAATGGGGTTATTATTTAATTTGGAAACACTGAAGTACTTTAGAAATCTAAAATTTGTGAAATCCAGAATATAATTTTTATTTTTTTAATTAATATTTTTATTTTAAATACAAATAATACAGACATAATACATATACATCTAAATACAAAAAAAAGAAAAAAAAGGAAAAAAATACAAATATTACAGTGCACCCCACCCCTGGTTTTTTTCTTATAATTCTCCTTCTATAACAATTAACAGATTCACTATATATTCCAATTGTGCCCTTATCCCTTCCAAAACGACATATATTCTTGAGTAGGTTTATTCCCTTTGCCTTCCACCAACACTTTTTATAAAATCCCCTCATATTTCATTAAAATTGTTTGCTTTAACCATTCTTTTTTAAATTTAATTTCTATTGTTAATTTATCATTTGTTGCAATTTCATTATACCACTCATTTCTTTGAATATCCCAATTTTGTTCCCAATATTTAGCCATCACTAATCTAGCAGCCATTATCAAATTTACAATCAATTCCTTTTCTGTTTCATTTATATCCCGTTTTTCCACCAGTGCAATTCTCGGTGACATATCTAAATTTAGATTCAAAAGTGCATTAACTTCTCTAAACACCATGTCCCATATTTTTTGTGCACTATCACATTCCCATTACATATGTTTATATGTTCCACCCTCTTTCTTGCACCTCCAACAAATATTTGTATATTTACCATCTATTTGATTTAATTTATGTGGTGTTAGGTACCACCTCCATATCACTTTATATCCATTTTCCTTAACTCTGACATATTCTTATATACTCTTCTATTCCAAATATTTTTCCAATCATTATCATTTATTTCTCCTAAATCTGATTCCCAAATTAATTTTAAACCTTTTGCCTGCTCTTCTAATTCAGTTAATATTCTATATATTTTCCCAATTCTTCCTTTACCTCTATATTCTTTATTCATATCACATTCTTTTATAATCATTTCAAATTTTGTTAACTGTCTATATTCTGACATCCTTCTTCCACTTTTATCCATTTTTCTAATTGTATCAAATTCAACCAATTTAATATCTGATAAAACATTCTTTAACTGTGTTATATTCTTTATCTTGTTCTTTCAGTCTTCCCTTTTATATATCTGATTTTCTTTTAATATACTAATCCATTCTTTCAATTCAATCTTAGGGAATTTCTCCATTTCCACCACTGGTGTTAAAGGAGAAATTCCTGGCATTAACCGGTATCTCCATTTATTCCATAATTCTATCAAATGTTTTAAAAAGGGATTTTGAATCCTCCTAGCAATTTTTTTAATATCCATTTTAAACCAATAAGTTTCTATCGGATCACCTATTTCTCTTAATTCTTTCAATTCTATATCCCTCCATATGAAATCTCTAGTTACTGCTGTAATATCTGGGATCACCTTTAATTGATTATTGATATCCAATAATTTCTAACATTTGGAAGACCCAGTCCACCCTTTTTTAATGGTTCATACCATAATGCTTTACTTATTCTTGCTCTCTTGCCTCCATTACAATGCACCTCCAGCAATTTCTGTATTTGTTTTAATTCTTGAACAGAAAATTTAATTGGGATCATCCAAAGCAAAAAATTAATTTTTGGTAAAACTTTCATTTTTACCATTGCAATTCTTCCAAAGCATGATAATTTTACTATTTGATCTTTTATATCTTTCTGTAACTTTTCATAATACTATCTACTATTTTTAATTTATATTTTCCTTTCAATACATCCATTTCTTCTTTACTATGGTTATATAACATCATTTCTGATTTTTTCCCAATTTATTTGTAATCTGCTATATTTTCCAAATTCATTCAGCTGTAAGTATATCCTCTCTATGATAACTACGGGATTTTGAAATGTTAATGATGTATCATCTGCAAATAAATTTATTTTAGTTTTCTTCTGTACACCAATTACTTCAATCAATGAATCTTCCCTAATTGCATTTGCCAAAACCTCCATCAATAATGCAAATAATACTGGAGATAAAGGGTAATCTTGTCTCGTTCCTCGGCTTAAGGTTATTGTCTCTGAAACACCATCATTTATAACTATTCTCACTTTATTCTTTGAATATAATTGATTTATCACTTTTCTAAATGTTTTTCCAAAACCTAACTTTTCTATTAATATCTTCAATGTTGGCCATTCCATACAATCAGAAGCCTTAAATACATCTAATGCTAATACACCTGCCTTCAATTTTTGATTCTTTATATAATAACCTATGTTTAATACTCTTCTTACTACATCTGACATTTGTCGGCCTCTTATAAATCCACACTGGTCATTTTTAATATAATTTTTTATAAATATATTCAATCTATCTGCCAATATTGCTGTAAAAATCTTAGCATCCTGATTAATCGGGCATATTGGTCTATATGATCTTGGGTTTGTATGATCTTTACCTGGTTTCACTATCAATATTATCAAGGATTGCTTCCAGGAACTTGGAATATTTTTCCCTTCCATTATTTTATTAAACATTATCTTCATATTCGGCACCAATAGTCCTTTAAAATGTTATAATATTCTACACCTAGTCCTTCTAACCCTGGTGCCTTACTTATTTTCGATTTGTTAATAACTTCCACTATTTCCTTTTCTTCTATTTATGATTCCATTATTTCTTTATCGTATTCTTGAATTTTACAATTTAAATTATTTTCTATATATGCCTGACTTTCATTCATATTTATGTCATTTCCTTTATATAACTTTTCAAAGAACTTCTGAAATATCAACAACTTTTCTCTCATCATGTTACATCTTTCCCCCTTATCTTTCTGTATTACTCCAATCAGGCTTTTTGCCTTTTTAACTTGTGTGGCTCTAGCCAACATTCTAGAATTTTTATTACTATTTTCATAAAACTCCCTGTTTAAATATATTAGATTTCTTCAAACCTGTTCTGTCTCAATATTTTGCAATTTCTTTTCTTTTAGCTGATAGTTCTAACATAATCCTATTTCTGCTTTCTATATATTTACTCTCTAGTTCCCTAATTTTTTCCTCCAACTATTTAATATATTTATCTTTTTATTTTTTTTATATTATAACAGTATTTTATCCCTAAACTTCTCACTAGTGCTTTCATTGCATCCCATGTTACATCTATATTACTGTCTCCATATTTCTTTTAACCCCCTTTCCATTTTTTCTAAAGTCTCTTTATTTTCCAAAATCCTCAAATCCATTTCCATCTACTTGCCTGTTTATAATCACTATCTGTTCTGTCGCCAGTAAAGAGACTCGCAGACCGGAGTTGAATTCAGCTCTTTAATAATAACAGTAACTTCAACTGCAGTCGAACCGCAGTAGCCCTTTTTATAGCAGCTTGCAACCAATGACATTTAGTTAAACTTCCCACCGCTACTGGCGGCCAATCAGGTACTAACGTTACTAACCAATCGTATCGTTGCTTCTGTTAACCAATAGGAACATCGCCCTAGAAGTCTCTATTTAAATACACTACACCCCTCCCCTCTTGGTTCGTTCCAACGTAACGTACTCGTGCAGGTAGGCGGGGCTCTTGTGAGTCCTTGTTGACCTGCACAGTTCAGTCCCTGTGTTGGTCTCCACTGGTTCGGACAGGCCAGCTGTCCATTCCTCTCTTCCCTCTGGAATCTCCTGGAAGGGTGCCTCAACCATGCCGCTTCGGTCGTGTCTTGGGTTTGTTGGTCTTACTCTGCGGTCTGGGCTTGCTGGATGGGCAGCGTGGTCTCCTCGTTGTGTGTGTGGGCAGGTCGAGTCGACCTGGGTGCTTCTCCCCTGAGGCTCCTTCAACTCCTCTTGTTTCTCGAAGTCTTCTAAAGGTAAGTGATTTTTATTTTCTTTATTAATATGTCCCCCCCCCCTCTGGATTTTTCATTATTGTCTGGGGGTGTTTGGAAAAATGTTTGTTCTGCGTTTCTGGGAACTTCGGTATCTCGTTCGATGTGTCAGGACCGTAGCTGATCGATGTGTCATTTCCACGATCTGCCATCGGTGGTTTCTAAACGGTAAGAACGAGGGCCAGTGATTTGAGTAATGGTTGCCAGTAACCACAATGGTTCTCCGGTAAGATTTTTTGTGTAGACTAAATCGCCTGGTAAGAAAGAGCAGTACTTACTGGACGAGTCTGGTGGCTTTTCTGGGTTGTAGGTAGGGTGCAGTCTATCCAAATAAGATCGCAATTTTCTTCCCATCAAAAGTTCAGCTGGGCTCTTGTTCGTAGTTGTGCATGGTGTTATATGTTGGATGGTGAACATGGTGTTGAGTTTTTCTTGCATATCACTTCCGTCAAGCCTTTCCAATGCTTCTTTCGTAAAACAAACCATGCGTTCCACTCTACCGTTCACCGCCGGATGAGCTGGCGCTGTCAAAGCATGTTGTATTCCATGTTCCACAAGAAACTGTTCAAAAGCCAAGGCTGTAAACTGTGGCCCATTGTCCAGTACTACTACATCTGATAGATAGTGGGTGGCGAAAAGGTTTTTTAGTTGTTTGGTGACGGCTTCTGTGGTTGTTGAACTCATGATGATGACTTCCAACCAGTTTGAACAGGCATCCACGACGATTAGGTAAGTATAACCTTTTGTGGGGCTGGCGAAATCCATATGGATTCTTGACCAGGGGCCTCGGGGTGTCTCCCATTCGAGGACTGGTGCTGAGGGGGTGGGTGGGCCTGCAAGATTGGCATTTGTTACATGTTTTAACCCAGGCTTCAATATCTTTATCTATTCCTGGCCACCAAACATAGCTTCTGGCCAGGGACTTCATTTTTACTATGCCGGGGTGTCCTTCATGTAGCATGGTTAGCACCTTTTCTTGTAACTTTTTTGGAACTACCACCCTGTCTCCCCACAAAATGCACCCTTTTTCCAGCGATAATTCAGTTTGCCGGTTTTTAAATGGTTTAAATGTCTCGGTTTTCATGTTTTCCGGCCAACCCCATCCCACCCAGTTCAATATCCGGCTCATCAGTGCATCTTTAGCCGTTTTCCTGGCAATGTCTGATGTGGTGATTGGCCAATTTGGCATCGTTTCAATTTGTAGTGTCTGTGTGGTGGGAGCTGGATTGTCGTGCCCTGATAGTGGTGCACAGCTTAAGGCATCTGCATGGGGTATGGCTTCCCCCGGGCAATAAATGAGTTTGTAACTGTAAGCTGCTAGAAATTCTGACCATCTAGTCATTCTTGGGGACAGGATATTGGGGGTTGCCCTGTCTCCGGCTAGGATTCCCAATAATGGTTTGTGGTCGGTAATCAAAGAAAATGTCCTACCGTATAAGTATTCGTGGAAACGTTTCACTCCCGAGATGGCTGCCAAAGCTTCCCTGTCTAGTTGGCTGTAGTTTCTTTCTGTTTTGGATAACATCTTGGAATAAAAGGCAATTGGTGCTTCTCTGCCGTCTGGTAGTGTGTGGCTGAGTATTGCACCTATTCCGAAAGGCGAAGCATCGCAGGTGACAGTAAGAGGTAGCGTGTTGCTGTATTGAATCAATACTGATTTCGATGTGATTAGATCCTTAATTTTTTTGAATGCTGTTTCTTCTTGGTAGCCCCATTTCCAGTTGGCTTTTTTTATCGAGAAGTCTATGCAGTGGTTCTGCTACTGTTGCCTTCTGTGGCAGAAAGACGTGATAAAAATTAATGAGACCCAAAAAAGCCTGTAAATCTGTTTTGTTTTTGGGACTGGGGGCTTCCTTAATCGCTCGTATTTTTTTTGTGTGGGGTGGATTCCTGCTTTATCAATAAGGTATCCCAGGAACTCAACCTGGTTTGTGGCAAGTTGGCACTTTTCTTTTTTGACCTTGGGTCCTGCTTCTCTAAATTTTGTCAGAACTGCCCTTAAACGGTCTTTTAGTTGTTTTTTGTTTTCAGCAGATATTAATACATCATCGAAATAGGGCACCACCCCTTTTAGACCTTATAGAAGGCGTTCCATTAGGCTCTGGAAAACGCCAGGGGCCACGCTTACGCCGAATTGTAATCTATTGCATTTAAATGCTCCTCTGTGTGTAACGATGGTTTATGCCTCGGCTGTTTCAGGATCAACGGGTAATTGTTGATATGCCTGCGTGAGGTCGAGTTTTGCAAAAATACTGCCTCTTCCCAATGAATGCAACAGGTGTTGGACTACTGGAACGGGGTATGTGCTCTCTTGCAATGCGTGGTTCAGGGTGGCCTTATAGTCACCAGAGATGCGCACGGACCCGTCAGGTTTTATAGGGGTCACAATTGGGGCCTTCCATCTGGCGTGGTCAGTTGGCTCTAGAACCCCCTGAGCGATTAGTTTATTTAGTTGTTCATCAATTTTAGGTCTTAGTGCAAATGGTACCCGTCTGGCTTTGAGTCTAACTGGAGCTACGTTCGGGTTTAAGTTAAATGATATAGGGGTCCCACGGTACTTGCCTAAAGTCCCGTCAAACACATCATGGAATTCTTCCATCAGGTCTTTTCCCCAGTCAGTCATGGTGGTGTTGTTTATTCCTGTCACCTCAATCCCGAGCGGTTAGAACCATTCCAACCCGAGCAGGCTGGGGCGATCTCTGTCAACGATGGTTAATGGCAGGATCTTGGTGTGCCTTTTAAAATTTACTTTGAAGTGTCCTAGCCCTACTACCGGTATTTTGTTACCCTGGTAGTCCTTGATGATCAGGCTTTGCTTCTCAAGTTCTCTGCGTTGTATATCGGGAATTAAGCTTTTTATTGTGTTCCATGACACCATTGATAAATACGAACCGGAGTCTACTTCCATCTTGCACAGCTCGCCTTCAATCAGGATGTTGATTCGAACCTTCTTAGTGTTTGTTGTTCTGGCTGTCCCATTTGTGATAGTTTGGTGCATTTCTTCCTTTTCACCTTTCCGTTGACTTTTTTCTTCACAGTTCCAACAGTTCCCAGTTATCCTTTCTTTGTTTCTGGGGGTGGGTACTGCCTTGTCCCCTTGAACTACAGCTCTTTTTGTTTCAGCATACCCTTGCGATGTGCCCCCGTTTCTCACAATGCTGGCATGTGGCATCCAGGAATTGACACTCAGATCTCGGGTGGTTTCCGCCACAACCCGCACACTGGAACTCGGATCTTCTGCTTCGTCTCTCTCTCTCTCCGGTTCCTCCATTCTGGCTATCTCCCCCCCCCCCCATATAATTTTTATGAATGTATGAATTAAAGTCTAATGTTTCTTTGAATTTCACAGATATCTGAATTTTATAATAGCAATAGGACTTAGACTTATATACCGCTTTATAGTGCTTTACAGCCCTAAGTGGTTTACAGAGTCAGCATATTGCCCCCATCAATCTGGGTCCTCATTTTACCCACTTTTGAAGGATGGAAGGCTAAGTCAACGTTGAGCTGGTGAAATTCGAACTGCCAAATTGCAGTCAGCCAGCAGTCAGCAGAAGTAGCCTGCAGTACTGCACTCTAACCACTGTGCCACCGTCGCTCATAATGCCATTCTTCTTTTCTCAAATGCAACTTGGAATTATGATTTCAAGATAAAATATAATCAGAAGCTTATTTAAGTTAAACTAATTAATTCTTCTGGCAGACATTTAATATTTAATTGTTTAGTTAACAATTATATCAGCTGCATTATTTACAGTGTTGTGCTCTTATTTGTATTTGTATTTTACTCTGAAAGCAATGGCCAACACTAAAGAGACAGGCAGACTGACAGGTTTGTGTGTCTATAATAAATTTGTCTATGGGCATGATCTAAGAAAAAGAGCCCACAGTCTGCCAGTCCCAGTTCCTACTCATTTCTCTTTGCAAGAAGAATAAAACTATAGTTCCTACAACAGAATGCTATGTATGGGGTGCAGAAGCTAGTCTATGCTTCTTGCCTTTTCCTGTTTACAAAATGTTATTCATTGTGGTCCATGTTGATTCCTTGCCAGATATTAGAGTTTCTTTGACTTACCTCAAGAGCCTTCTGTATTTTTTCTAGTGATGCATTGTTGCTCTGCAGTATTTCAAAAATTCCACTTGTAGTTGCCGCAAGAACATTTGGAGTCTCTGCTGCAAAGTTCATGATTTCTTTCCATTTGTTATCAACTACAGAGAAGAGACTGGCTTCTTCTGGAAGTTGTCTGTTATTAAATCATATGTATATGTATATGAATATGGATATGATACATACACATACACACATAGTAAAAAATCTAATCCTCCAAATTTAGATTTAGAAAAAAATGTGTTAATATATTAAACCATATGCTTAGACAAAAAAAGCAACATTTTTATGCTACTTTTCCACAGGTAAATTAGAAAGAAAAAACAGCAATAATAACATGCATGCAATATCACATTTGAAATAAAAATACAAAATTATCTGTGAAAGTAATTGAACAATATCTAGCATGGGTAATTACATTACAACAGAATTTTCAAACTTTTCAGTCCATACAACCTTCTCATTTAAAAATATTCTGGAATTCCTGATCTAGAAGTAAAGCTAAGTGATAAACAAGTGTCTGTGCTTTGTGCATAACACTTTTCCATATATGCAGAAACATGTGCACATGCATACTCTTCCTGCAAGAAGTAGCAGCAGCACAATGCTCAGGCATAGATCCTGAGCACCAGGACTGAATGGGATATTCCTTAGGAAAAGCTGTTCTGGAAAAAGGGGAAAGTCATATTTGGTAAGGGTCCTTTGATCTTTTCTGATTTGCCTTGGATGGTGCTCAAAAGTGGATTTTGCAAGAACTTATTGCTGTATGTTCAAAGGGCATTGAAGGAGGGACTCATCACCTGGATTCTATGCATGATTTGGTCCAGTACAGGTAGTTCAGCAAAAGCAAGAGTAAGCATGACCCCACTTCCACAAAAATATTCATTACCACCATTTGAGATTGCTTGTATTATTTTTATATTTTAATTATTTTAATGTTTAAAGTAACTCCCTAATTTCTCCAGAAAGCATTAATTATTGGCCAAGTTAGAGATATAAGAAATAAATGATACTAGAGGTAGTTTATGTATAATAACACTGTTCATTTAAGTACTGTTTAAATGCATTTTTTAAAAGTCAGAATCATTATTACAGAAATATATACTGGCACATATTAACAGTGTTAAAACTATTTTGAATTCAAAACAGCTATTTCAAGGTCAAAATTGGATATTCCAACTTCACCTGAATTTTACACTATTCCAATAAGGTCCAAATAGCCTATTTCAAACAGAACTGCTTTGAATTCAAAATGATTTGCACATTGTTAGTATAGTAAACATCTTTTCATCTGTCAAGTACACAGTGTAATATGTTCAACTTATTTTCATGAAATTATTTTATATGACTACTAATGAAAACAGCATTTAACAAAAATGCAAATTAGTTTATGCCTTCTTGGGGGTATTTTGTTATATTGTTTTATAAATTATATTATTATTCCTTTTATTTTAATCTTTACACATCACCAGGAATTTTGGGGGGAAATGAACAGCTGTATAAATTATATTAAATGAAGAAACACTAGTAATGTAATTTATTGCATTCCAAAGCATTGACTACAGCACAACAAATGCAGCAGTGGCTTTTAAGTTTTTTCATCTCATAACACACTGAGAAAATGCGAACTTGAGCAGTCACACATCTCATAGGGACTTCCGGAACTCCCATGATGTCCCATGGAGCAGTCCATCCCTGGTGATGTCATTGAAGAAGAGTTCTGGCTGTGCAACATTTCTTGTCATTTATTTGTGACTCATTGATGCAACACATATGTGGACTTTTTGCAGCACAGAAATGAAAACTTCTGATCTACAGCTAATGTTTAATATTTTAATATTTATTCAATTTGTATTTTATTTGGGTTACATTAAAATTTAATTACCAAAGCACTTAAGCATACCTTTTTATTTCTGGAGCCTGAAAGATTGGCTCCAGATAAATCCAGTGTCTCTGACAAGTTAACCATTCCTCCAGAGTACAGGAAATGAGATTTAACTTATGATCCCAAGCATGAACAAGATTCTACCATAAAAAAAAACAACCCAGAAAATAAGCATCTGAGGCAGGCAAACAATTTTCTCTTTAAGTAGAAATGGGGAAGTGGGACATATTTTTTTATATTTTAAATTTGATAATTTAAAATATTCATTAGCCACTATTGTAGAGGCAAAGCAGGAAATTTTAAACTATACTGATTTTAAAAAATAAGTTATTTCTGATTTTTCTTAGATATTCCAAATGGAAACCAGCTATTTGTAATAATTGAGCATTTCAATATTTCACAACATCCTCATAGAAATATTACCTTAATTGGTTCAACAAAACAAGAACTTTTAATGGTTGAGATTGTCATCAGAGATTCTTCTAACAGAGTAGTTATATCTTCCACAGATGAAATAATACAAATACTAGATGTTTCAGTGTTATAGGGACATAAGTGGAAATCAGTTTTCTGCCAAAGGCTAATGATATTTTTAAACATTACTTCAAGAGTTGTTTCTTTGGAAGCTCTTATGGATATTTCATTAATATCTTTTCTATATTGAAACATCTAAAAAAATAAATAAAAGATTTATTAATGCATGCTAGTAAACAAAACAAATTATACAAATAATTAAGATGCATATTCAGCAAATAGATATGAACCAAATAACAAAAATATACATATGCTTTTAGAAGTGGCATTTCTAAATTACAAATTATAAAATTACATTGAGTTCCAGGATCTTCTCCAGAGTAAGTCTTTTATCCCAAGAAATTGCCTCTCCAACAATATTCTGTATTGTTTCCCAATGCCTCCGTTGAAGACTAGGATTCCGTAAAGATATGATTATAGGCAAGGATTCCTTAAAATCCAACAATGATTTCTTCATAATGGGTAAAATAGTATTTTCTGGCAAGCCTTCAAATATGAAAAAGTTACATCAGAACACTTTTCATAATGTTTGAAATCTGAGCTTTTGTTGATCTTTCTTTACATAAGATTGTTTTGAATTTTTGACAGACTTCTTCAAATTCACAGAATGTCAGATTTGGAAGAAACCTTGGAAATCAACCACTCTGTTTAAGTCGTTGCTCAGTGCAGGAATCCATTAGTGCAACATGACCAAAAGAAGACCATCCAGACTCTGTTTATGAATTTCCAAAAACAGAAAATCCACCAATTTATGAGGTGGCTCTGATATGCAATCAAATTTACTTGTAATTTGAACCCATTATTTCTTGACCAATTTTCTAGAACAATTCTCATCAATTCTGCCAATTTTCTACAAGATATTGCTGAGGAAAGGAATAGTCTCTTTATAGTCTCATTTTCTCCCAGCTAAATATATGTAACAATTGAAACCACTGATACTCTTGATATTGTTGTCTAGGTGACAGTCTGTTCCCCACTCCCCACCCATTTCTCACATAAGATTCACTGTGTATTTGACTGATGTTATTTATTTATTTGAGTTGTCAATCGCTTCAAGATAATAGGTATAAGTATATACAGTACATAGTTATGAATACATGAAATGGGTACATATAAGAAAAAAAAAAGAAACAATAGGACAGGGACGGTAGGCACGTTGGTGCGCTTATGCACGCCCCCTACAGACCTCTTAGGAAAAGGGTGAGGTCAATAGTAGACAGTCTAAGGTTAAAGTTTTTGGGGTTTGGGGAAGAAACCACAGAATCAGGTAGAGTATTCCAGACATTGCTGACATTCTGTTGCTGAAGTTGTATTTCCTGCAATCAAGTTTGGTGCGGTTAACCTTGAGTTTGTATCTATTGTGTGCTCTTGTGTTGTTATGGTTGAAGCTGAAGTATGTTGCCTAACCGTACTTTCAGTATCTAATTTTTGACATGCTTCCAACTCTTCTGTGTTCTGTTTGTTAATTTCTATTCGCAGGGTCCTGCCTAATACATCTCCAAACTTATTGAAACTAGTTCTCCTGAAATCTAATGTGCACATATGGCTATGCTCCAATTTTTCTTTCCTATCTTTCTAACCCGCTGTGAAACCAATCCATTGTTGGCTTTATATTAATGATTTTCACTACAGTCAATTATCATCTTAGTTATCACAATTAATTATAATAGCTAGCATATGAAAATTTACTAAAACTGCACATAACTATAATCCAAACATGCAGGTAAAAAGTTTTAACACAAAATTGTTCATCTTCAAAGTTTAAAAAGTATTTTTATACAATAAATCAATGAAAAGGGGGGGGGGATTTGCAAAACACTTGTATGATCTTTATATAAATAACATTTTGTTTTCAATGCATCAAATCAAAATAATCTCACAATTAAAAACAGAAAAGATAGTCTTCCTTTAGTAATGTTTTGCCATTTGGCTAAAACAACATTGGTTATTACTTAATTTCAAAATAATTTTAATTCATAAATTATTTTGTTTCGATTAATTCATAATTATTGCAATTATAAACATTTTACCTTTTTCAAGAATATGAATTCTCTGCATGAATCTGTTAACTTCACTTTGAATTACATCTACATCAAGATTCCAAAAGATTGTATGTTTCCACTTAAAGATAAGTTTTGCCCAATCTTCATGTGAGTCCCATAACAATTTACGTAACTGTAGTTCACCTTCAATTTCTGAGAGTTCAGCATTCACTCTCTGAGAATCTCCAGCCTGACTTCTATGAGACAGTTTTTCCACAGACAATGATTTCATGTCACCAATGGCACCATCAAGCACGTGCTGGTAATTTGCATAATTTAAAATTTTCTCACTGATAATTCCTGCTTCTTCAATAAGATTTTCAATCATTTCTTTAGCTGTCTTAGGCAGGGTTTCACTGAGGAGAAGGACAGGATTTCTCACCTAAACAACAACATGAATAACAATTAATAACAAAGAAATAATTATAGTTTGGCAAAATTAAGGAAAATATTTTTTAAAAGTAAATTGGTCCATTACATTGAACAAAGTTGCCTATATCCTCCCTTAGTACAACATACATTCTCTCTTTTTCTTTTCAGAGAAGGATTGCTATACTTTTTTGCATAATTGGGCATGACAGGATTTCACAAAGCCCATAGTTTAGTGATTGCTGCTTTAATTTTATAATAGTGCTACTACATAGAAAAGGGCTGCTATTATTACCATTGTAAACACTAAAATAAAGACAACGGATTTGAAAAAATTATCACCCCCAAAGTGGAATGCCTTCAATTTCCCAATTAGCAAAAGTAGACAGTAGAGGGTAGAAGATTAAATTCTCCTACTCTTCTGCCTTTCACACATAATTACTACTGCATGTGCTATAGGGCTCAAGGCAGAAAAGGAAAGATCGTGGGAGTAATGTGGAAGAATAATAGAAGAACAATTGACATGTACATGAGAAAAGAAGCAGGAACCTTTTTTTCATTATTGTTAAAAAGTATGAATCAGAGTCAGTTTTTGCTTATTGTACTGAAGTTGATCTCAATGAGTGTTATTTCTAAGCCTAGATCAAATTAACATCAGCATTTCCATTCTGTGTAAACCTGAAATAGAAATAATTTCTAAATGACATTAAAAAGAAAAAACACTGAGGTCATGACAAAATCTGACAAGAGTGAGATGGAGGTAGTTCAACCATCTTGGCTCTCCTTGACATCACAGAAGTCTTCAATACCATTGAACTTGGTATTCTTTGGGCCGGTTATGGAACTCAGGGCTGAGAGCACAGTTCTGTGCTAAATTAGCTCCTTTCCTCCAAGGTAGTTCCCAATCGGTGTTGATAATCATTCTCTAGCCACTCTCATATGGTGTACCATAGGGTTCGATACTCTTTCTACTCCTGTTTAATTTGTACATGAAGCCACTGGGTGAGATCATCCATCACCAGGGGTCAAAATATCACCAATATTCTATGCCTATGGATATTCCCAGTCATCCAGGACATGGTTGTCCCAAAGGTGCTTTTCAAAAGGTAACTAAATGGTCTTGATTTTTTTCCCCTTGAAAAGTTTCACTTCTCATACAAGAAGCTTTTTCAGTTCTGACTAATTGGTGGGGAATAGAAGATAAAATCCTTCTATGCTTTCACAACTCTCTCAGGTATTTAGAGGCTGTAGGAACCTGGATGAAGGGCAGTGAGCTATGACTGAGCCCTGGAAAGACTGAGTGACTTTGGGTGCATGGAGCTTCAAGATGCATGACTTTGACATCTTTATCATGTTCAGAACTATTTTGCAACTTAGGAATTCTCTTGGACTCACAACTTCTGCTCGAAGATCAGGTGGCAGCCATGTCTAAGAGAGTCTTTGCTTAGCATTAGTTAGTACACCAGCTGCAGCCTTTCTTGGATCAGGAGTCCATGTACTCAGTTACTCAAACCTTAATAATCTTTCATCTGGAATACTGTAATGCATTTTACATGAGGGTCTCCTTGAAACGCATTCAGAACTTCAACTGGTACAAGGAGTGGCAGCACCAGCAGTCTTTGGGGCCTGTGGAATGAACAAGTCGATCTTGTCTCGCTAAGATAAATATGCTTTACTCATGCCAGCAGAGAGGCCTGCTGAGGACCCCATTGGTCATGGAATTCCAATTCATGGTATCCAGGAGAACAGTCTTTTCTGCTATAGTGCCAGACCTTTGGAACATCCTGCCCGCTAAGGTGAAATTTGCCTCCACACTCCTATTTTTCTGCAAGGACCTGAAGACCTGGCTCTGCCAGTTGGCCTGGGGATCCAATAGGGGAGTATATTACTGGAGGTGGCTGCTAGACTAACTAACTGACCCATCCCACCCCTGCATTTCCTGCTCTCCCTTTGCTCATCTTTTTAATGTCATATTATGGTACTTCCACTATTTATTTTTACCGTTTTATTCCTTTACTATTGTTATTTCTACATTTTTATCATTTTTCCATTTTATTGTTGTAAGCTATCCAGATTTAGCCTCACAGCAAGATGGACAGAAAATAATTTAATAAACAAACAAATAAAATAACAGTAATTGTATGTATTTTGCTTTGAGATTTTTTTACCTTGCTACTATGAATCAGATGCAAATATATTTGTTATTATCCTATTACCTTGCTTTTGTATTCTTTCATTTCAACTTGTAAATTATCCATAAATTCTCCCAAGCTTTCATTAAACTTTATAACATAATCATCCTTCATTTTTTCACATATAAGGATAGTTGATTGAAGATTCTGGAGTGTTCGCACAACAGTTTGATAGAGAGCAAGCTGCTGGTGTGGGAGAAAGATGTTATAATCATTTGCAATGAAGTGGAGCTCAGAAAGGTAGTGATATTCAACCTTTATATTTGGTAGTTGTGAGGAAATTTCCTGAAGATATAGCAAATGTTCAACAAATCCATCCACTGTTACTAGTTCTTTGTTCAACTTTGTTACTGCTGACTGAGTGACCTAAAAGTAATGAAATAGTAAATATTTAAAGATGTATCCAAAGATGTATTTTATATATATATAATTTATATTTGTAGGTCTAAGTGTGTTTGGGTCTTTTCCCGTGTAAGATATAGACTATCTTGGTGATGTTTCGGTGAGGTCCTACTCGCCATTCTCAGGCTGGTGCTTTCAGCTTCGTGCCAGTGCAAGCAGTGTGTGATCGGAGCTGCTGTCTCTCTATAAATACTGCGGGAGGGGCTGGTGTGCTGGGCTGGTTGGCTGCGCTGCTGCCTCTTGATTGGTTGATGGAGTTGATGTTGGTATAATGGGCTGTGTGATGGCCTTGTGAGTTTTGTTGTGGAGATAGCATGGATCTTGTGCTGTAATCTCCTGGGTCGTTTGTTTACAGCAATTGATTACAGCACAAGATCCAGGATATCTCCACAACAAAACGCACAAAGCCGAAGACACAAGCCTGAAGATGATGAATGAGACTTCATCAAAACGTCGCCTAGATATTTCCAATTTTACGTGGGAGAAAACCCAAATAACCAAAGATCTATCTATATCTATATATCTATATATCTATATCTATATGTGGGGGGGGTATTCAGCTTTGTTCAGGTATTTTCCCACGTCATTATAGTTGTGCTTTTAAAGTTGTAGCAACGTTTCGGCAGAATCTCATCTGCCATCATCAGGCTTCTGTATTGTGTTCATCTGAAACGTTGCTACAACTTTAAAAGCACAACTATAATGACGTGGGAAAATACCCGAACAAAGCTGAATACTATACAGGTAAGTACCTGCGAAAACTTAAGAAAACATATATATGTATATGTATATATTTCTTATTATGGTAGTATTCTGTTTGGAAAACTCCTGAAGCTTTTGATCACGATTGAGATACAGTTTATTACTTTACTAATTATTCCCACTGTTATATTGTGAGAGCTGTAGATACCCAATATGCATAAATCAAGTTAAAACAGTAACAATAATTAAAATAATAAAATTAAAACAACAACATCAATTATAGAATATGATTGCACCTATATTATACTTACATTTTAGGGAACACAGATCAGATTTAAACAGATACTTTATTAGTACAAAGAAGTATATGATGATATTTCAGCCCCCAATACCTGATGGAATAGCTATGTTTCTGTGGCTTTTCTGAATTTCAGTACTGCTGAGACTATATGAATCTCTGGGAATTTTAGAGAAGTAGAGAAATTTTCTTCAGAAAGGAAGAATTTGCAGTAAATGCTTTCTTATCAGTATCAGAATTATAGCACTGGAGTACTAAAATTGATAGCCAGCAAGTAGATGGCAACTTTGCCATAATAAATATGGACCAACTACAGAATATGTGTCAGGGTTCCAGAGATAGCCCTAATTAAATCATGAGCCTCAAGCCAAGCTTAAAAAAACCCTCAAAAGATCTATTAGAAGCAACATACCATCATTAATCTAAATGAAGCCAACTTTTGCATACATAATTCACAGTCACCTGTGACCAGGGGTGGAGTTCGCACCTATTCGCTAGAACTGGTTGTTAACATTCTAAGCAGTTCGGAGAACCGGTTGTTAGAAGAAATTATTGGCCTAATCCTGTAAGGAAGGCAGGAAGGAAACATTCTGGTGTTGCTTTCAGAAACTGCCTCTCCGTTAACCCTTATTACATTCTTGGCAGGGCTAGAATTCCTGTCTCAGGAAGGTCTCTGGAATTTTTTTTCCTCCTTTGCTGGTACTTTGTTTGTGTGGAGTGACCATTCCAAGTTACAATGGCACTGAAAAAAGTGACTTATGACCATTTTTCACACTTATGACTGTTGCAGCATCTCCACAGTCATGAAAGGCCAGGCAAGGAGATGCATGCCTCAATGTGAGTGATATTGAGTTGGCCACGCTCAGCCAATAACATGACCACCAAGCCACACCCATCAACTAAGCCATGCCCACAGAACCAGTTGTTAAAAAATTTGAATCCCACCCCTGCCTGTGACCCTGTTTCCCCCCTCCCCCCTGGGTTTATCATAAATCAGATTCGCCAATGAAGCACATTCATGGGCTGGGTGTCATTAATCATATTCTCCAATAAAGGATTTTAGTGGCCAGAAGATCCAGTAGCCTAGCTACAATCTTTTTAAGATAATGGTGGAATGTACTTCTGGTTTTACTGCCATACTGCTCCTTCAGATTCCCCCCCCCCAATTTATGGCAACTTGAAAACAGGCATAGGAATGTTTTACAGGTTGACAACATTCTCAAATGAATAAAATTCATTGGGGGAAAGAAAACAATAGCATGCTACTTTTCTTGGATATCCCTACCAGCAGAAGTAGTGATTGCAAATTAGAAACCCAAAGATATTGTAAAATCCAACCAAGTCCCAACCAAGTGCTCCACTACCAAAGTAACAACCCAACCTCCCTCAAGAGAATCTATGTAAGAACACTATTTAGATGAGCACAATCACACTGCGGCAACCCTGAACATCAGAAAGAGGAACTAGATCATTATACAACATCTTCCAATAAAATGAATGCCATCTATGCAACTTCATCAAAAAGTTCATGAGCATTCAATCCAGTATAGCACAACCAATACAAGTTGGGAAAAAGATAACACCGCCATACATCAAAAACATCTCAGAAACCATCAACAGATGATGAAAATCACATGGCATCACCATAGCACATAAACCAATTAAAGCCCTCCAAAACAAACCAAAAGACCCAGCAACCCCAGAAGACAAAATAGGAGTCACCTACAACATACAGTATAAGGACTGCAGCAGCTATTATGTAGGACGAACAAGCAGAAGACTAGCAGAGCACATTTATAAACATCAACTAGCAGTAATAAGACATGGTGGAAACTCCTTAATTTCATAATACATGAATAGATTTAACCATAGTTTCAACTTGGAAAATGTGAGCATTCTAGACCAAACAAGTCCAAAAACGCTAACGTATTTCTAGAAGCCTAGCACTCAGACAAATCAACTATTAACAAGCACATAGAGATACAAACATCTACATATCATTCAAAAGATACAATAAAAAAGGAAACTAAAAGACCCAAACCCATCCCCACCAGCAATCAACACCCAGATGTGCAGAGAATAATACCACAATAATCAAGAACCAAATAATACCCCAATCAGGGAATTTACAGTTCAGACAAACAAGCTGCTGGTAAACAACAGTCCAATCAAGGAACCATTAAATCATTCCCATCAACACTGATAGGGTAAGCCATTTATAATATGTAGAATGAGAGCAAGCCCTACTCCCAACTGATGTTACCCAGTTTGATAATGAAAAATCTGCAGAAAAACAACCAAGCACAGAGAGCATCAAGAGTCAACTTCCTTCTAACATTACAAAAAACCCAATATATATATATTTTTGTACTGATAATCATAAGTTCAAACCATTGAACTAATTTTGTGTTTATGCAAAAAAAAGGAGAAAACTACATCATACTTTTAAAACAGTCATTATTGTGACCTTTAACTGGGTGACACAGTGCATTATAGGGCAATAATTTTGAACCAAAGATACATCAAATGCAGAATGTATCCAACATTTGGGACTCAAGACGCATAAGGAAATCACATTTGGTAAGGAAAGGCAAAGCAAAATTTCCAATGCTCTCTGCAAAATCCTGTAAGTTGGCAGGAAGTTGGAAGTCGTAATGCCCACCCTTGATCATTCTGTACATGAGTAAGGAAATATCTCTGAAATGATGCCCAATGAGGCATATGCTATCTCATTCATTCTTTGGTTTGTGAATGATCCAATAACTTTCTCTGCACTTATTCCCCTTTCCTTATCCAACAACATTTCCCTGGGATTGTATTCATTCAAAATGTTACAAAATTTCACTCCAAAGTCATTTCTTTTTCCCACTACTATCATTCACTAAGGTTTCACATGCAGCTCTCACCATCCCATGGATTTCTAATTTCAAAGAATAATTCAGCTAATATCAATTCATACTTTCTAATTGTATTGTAGTTGTTTCATTCATAATGAAGTATTCCCTAGAATTAATTCAGTCTTTCTACAATGGATTCCTCTTGCACTGCAAGTGCCATCAAATATAATTTGAATGTATGCAGGTTGTAAGAGATCAGAGGTTGCAGTACAATCTTTTTTATTCTTTCATAGAGTTGTACAGGTGGAAGAGTCCATTTATGCCCTCAGATTCAACCATGTGCTCATTGACAAAATCCAAATTCAAGCAGCCTGGACAGTCAGCTAACTAGTCTCCTCTTGAACATATCTAGTGGAGAGGAGCCTGTCACTTCCCTTAATAATGAGTTCAACTGACAACCCACACTTGTAACTGGGAATTTTATTTCTGTTGGACCCTGCACTTGCAGGAATACACTAGGAAGAAGATTTCTATAAATCAGAGTCCATCTTCCTGTAACTTATGCATTATTCTTGTGATGGAATGTATGAATGGCCTTGGGGAATGAGGGGAAGAGATGCTGCCTAGAAAACAATCAGACAGGAAAGGCAGTGGCCCCCAGTGGCTTGAAGGTCAGAGAAAGTAATTTAGGAAGGACCTGGCCGAATGGAGTAAAGAGTTAAAAATGGCGGAGCAAGTTTATACTTTAGACTTGCAAGAATCTCTTAATATAATCTTACAATAAAGTAGAATTAATTTATCTGGTCCTGTTTCTTGTTTGATTTACCTGGAAGAGCTAACAATGCTGTATCTGGAACAAAAAGATACAGCATTGGAACAAACAGGCTCTGGAACAAAAGACCATATTTTGGTCTCCTTGTCTGGCCATCTGTTCAGCTGTTTAAAGAGTTCTAGTGTACAAACCCTGATTTTTCTCTTCTCAAGGGTCTATATTTCCAGTTTGCGTGTGCGCTCACTGGCCATTTCCACGGCCCAGTTGCAATCCCTTCACGGGCCACTAGTGAGCCATGACCCAAAGGTTGGGGACCTCTGACCTAGAAGCATAACAACAAAAAATCTTTTCCTGGCCGTGGTATTGAAATGATGAAAAAGTTGATATCATTCATGTATCAATGGGGATGACATTCCAAAGACTACAAGCTAGCACTGAAAATGTCCACTCTTGGATTGCTACTAACCATATCTTAACATGGAGAAGTATCTGGAGAAATGCTTCTGAAGATGAATTTATAGTCCAAATAGGAACTTACAAGAAACACCTTGAATTGGGATTGAAAATTATTTGGGATCGTGAAGTTGTTTTACCATTCCCTGCCTATCTTAGTTTAGCTCAACATTTGAATTTGCCTGGCTACCCTTCCCTCTGTCCACATTTCACTTTGTAATAATTTACCAAAATGCAACTATCTGTCTATTGGATATTTCATTTCAACTGCAATATAACCAAACAAAAGTTTGATCTCCATTACAGCTAATTATGTCTTCTATATAATGCACTTTTTGACCTAAACATTTGCAGTGAAATAGTTGGAAAAGAAATTTAAGAAATTAATAAAATAAAAATTATATACTTACTTCAACAAGATGCACATTCTTTGTATCAATTGCTGTATAAAAATGAAAATGAATAGTCTTAAGCAGACCCTCAAAATATGGCAGGCAGTCTGTCTGAAAGTTCAAACTGTTTACTCTAAACAGAGAGATGCGTTTTTCAATAAGCATACATACAATCTCCTTTACATCAACTGTATAATTTTCTAGAATATTTCTAAACTCCTTTGTAGTCAACTCTCTTTCCAATGCTACCATTTTATCATTTGTATATTTTGCTTTATCTACCATACTGCAATATTCCATAAAGTTTCTGCTGTAAGATTCTACTCGGGCCAGTGAAGAACTCTGAAGAGATAAAAGCTCCAGAATCTAAAAAAATAAAATGGAAACAAATTTTATATTTGTGTGAGTGTGTGTGTGTGTGTGTGTGGATTTATTCACAAATGCAATTAAAAACCAGAGACATATAGATGTAATCCTACCATCTTTCAAAATTGTTATTAAACAGTACTGATAGCATTCACATTAAAATAGTGGTGATTTCTTCTGATTAGCTTTTAGGAACTATATTTTTAGCATACATACCTTATTAATTTTAACCCTATGTAATCAAATTGTATGAATAGCATTTTCTACTAACTTGTGCCTCAGGACTAAATAGGTATAGCTATGTCTCAGTTAATGGGATTAATGGAATGGGTGGTATTTTAATGCTTGTTCTTGTCATGGTCCTTGGTTGCCACAAGTATATTTATTGTTATTGGTCTATTTTGAATTTTAAGTTTATTAGTTTCCCAGAGTTGTTGTTACAAGATGAGTGGTCATATAATTAATTAAAATAAATATATTTTCAGTGTCAAAGCAGGAATAGACAAGGACTTTAACTTCACTGACGCCAATATAAAATTTCCTTACAATACAAAGAGCATTACAGAAGAATAAATTTACTTCAGGTCTGCAACAATGAAAATAATTAAATTCCTGTATACCCTGCTGAAATACTATTAATTAGTTCCCCTAATCAATACCATTTGTATGTTTAAACAAGAACATTAAAAACAAGCACTAAGTAAACAAAGCCTAAAGTCAAGGGGTTACATTGGCTTCAATCCAAAACAGAAACAAAAATGTGATAACATTTTTAAAATCCAGAACAGTGGAAAATAAACCTGCATTTCTTTTTGTAATAACACTAAAAAAAATTTAAACAAACATTCTTGTAAACTCAAAAGTTAAGTTCTAAATGTAGATCATACTGAAAAGACTTGGCTAAAGAAGAGCCACTTAGTAACCATGGGCCACAAGTTCTCAGATTTTCTTTACTTTCTTTTCATTTCCTTTTTTTCTTATTTTTGAAACTAAGGGACACAGTAGGAAATGCACTAATACCACATGTCACCCAAGTAGTAAGACAGGATTTCTGGAATGATTTTTTTTGGAGTGTGAATTTGAAGGCATTAAAGTTTGGAAAATAATGGAAGCAGTAGATTACAAAAAAGATTTCTTAGAGTTCTGATAGTTATGATTTATAATGAGATTGAAGTATTAATTCAAAATGTCTAGTGTTAATCTACTGATAAATTTATATATGTAGGGGAAATGGGGGAAATAATATTTCTTGTGTCTTTTTGATATAAAGAGAATGAAGCTTAAATCTTTTGTAAAGAAAGGCAGGCTGTATTTGTTGATTGTTTTAGAAATGACTACTTATCAATTTCTTACACTGAGATGTATGCATAGTTATATTTTTCACATTTTCTGCCAAATTTAGAAGTTCAGCCAAATTTTGGTATATTTAGTTTTAGGAGGCTACAACAAAAGGATTTGAAAGATTACATGTAGTCCATTGTCCGTGGTTTGAATCAATATAAGGGTACGAAAAATATTTAGAAATATATTTAGCACTAAACTGTTACCCTCATATAATACGACTTCAGAAACATACTTTATTTTGGTAATCTGGATCTGTCCCAAGAATAAGATCACAGTTTGGCCATGTTGATTGATAATGTCCTGGTTCAAAATCTGTGTAATCTTCACATTGCTGCATTATTTTATGTAAAGACTGATCAATGAAGATTGAAAGCCGAGAATCCTGAGAAAATGGTGTAACTTGATCTAATGGAAAATATGGTAATTTAAAAATATTTTCAAAATCAGAATTCATTATGAAACCAATTTTAAACTAATTAAAAATTGCTGGCTGAGCACCCATGATGGGTAAATACTCTCAGGATTTTTAACTATTTTAATGTAATTTTAATGTAACAGAAATATCAATTCAGATTTTTCCCCAATAATTCTCATATATTTGAAAGTCTAAATTTAGTAACTCACTGGAATATACAAGAACCTGTAGTGCTTTTTTTCTTAGTGTCCTAGGCATGTGCTTATTTTGTTTAATGATTAATTTGGGGCTGAATTTGGCAAATTCCTGTAAGTGATTATACTTTATGTAGGCTTTAAAAGATCTGGAACAAGTATTTTTTAATACTGACCAGAATGTTTTTGGAACAGATACTTTTAGACCAGTGGTATCAAACTGGTAGCCTGCGGGCCGGATGCATCAACCATAGGCCACACTCACCCCAACTCCGCAAAAAAGTCAGAAAAGTCACAATATGTCACGGGACATCAACATGACACGGTGAGTTTGACACCTGTGTTTTAGACAGATTTTTGAAAACTATACATTTTCTATTAAAGACTATGAACTGCATTACCAAACAGAAGCACTGTCCCACACATAGTCAAAAGCACTGTCATATGTTTTAAATTAACAAAGCAATCCTCTGCACATTTACTTAAAATAAAACTCAACTGAACACAATGATACTTGCTATTAAATAAATATGCATATAGTCTTGTTCTTGAATTGGTAAATTTAAACTTATTTTAAAATTCTGCTTTTGCTTGTTCCAAAAGAGAATCCATATTTAAGTTTATCTTTGTTAACAGAGTGAACATTACAGCTCAAATGAAAATAAATGCTAAATATCCAGTAAGTAAATGTGGGAGTTGCACTAATGTTTGAAGAATATTTTACAGAATATTTTAAAGTAAGAGAAGCCTGAAACTAGTTTTGCAGAGTAATAGTCCCAGTATATGATGCACTCCCAGTAAATGAATGGTACTTACAATTGGTCTTTGGAGTAGCAGTTGCTGCAGTATCAGGTAATCACTAGTTGCAACTTGTTAGTTGAATTGCACTTAATTGAATTGAATTCTTTATTTGGCCAAGTGTGATTAGACACACAAGGAATTTGTCTCCAGTACAAAAGCACTTGAGGAGGAGGAGGTGGGTGGGTGTGTCAAGGACAAGACAAGGGATTTTGGGAGGAATTTTGGAAGCTTCTGACCTGTTGCACAATCAAGTCAAGAAAGCTACTTCAACAAAATACATAAAGTGAGTCTGGAAAATCTTGAAATCAAATCTGAGTGGAGGAAATATCATAAAGTGATGTGACTCTAATGTGAGACCAATACTAATATATAGCAAATTACTCTCACACACATTTTTAATCTTCTAAATTGCTTCAACTCAACTGAAAATTTTTAATGAGATTAGATCTGGCAGTTAAATCTTGATTTTGTTTTGTTGGATGGATAGTAAATAATCTATATTACATCAAAAAAATTTCCAGTGGGCACCAGTAGCATCCACCATGTCCAAACATTACTTACCAATGATGTTTTCTAATCCATCTACAATCCCTTGTAATTGTATTGAAAAACTTTTTCTGTTAGGAATCAGTGATACATCTGTAGAGAACTGTAGAGAGCTAGAAAATAAAATATTGAATTTTTATTGGCAAAAGGCATCCAAAAACCTGTGACAGTCTGAGGATCAAAATCTGAATATTAAAATAAATATAAGATAGTTCATGAGAAGTTCTTATTTTCCTTCTTTCCCAAACTCAAAAATGTCTCTTTGGAAGACTGAGTGCTTTCTTGAATAACCTGGAATGGGCTATCAGGTGACAGCTGGGAAAAAGAGTAATTCAAAATCAGGTATATATCCTAAGTTAAGGAAGTTCAGAGAGAATTTGTCACCTCTCTTGTCTTTTACTGCTTCTTACACTTGGAAGAAGTGTAAGTGCTGCAGGTGTTTTCAGAACAGTGAAAAAGATAAGATCATCAGAAGAATTTCATTTAAGTTAGTTTATGTCAGATGTATTAGCTTTTTTCTATGGAGATTAGGGCAAAGGTGATTGGAGAGGAGTAAAAGAAATAAACTATGAGGAAAGAACAAAAATTTGAAGGAGATACTATTCCAGGTTTCTTGTGGTCTACATATCACATCACTTTTAAGACAGAAAGTATATTGTTATAAAGTATCTGCACTTAAAATACTCTTGCCATATATATAAATCACGATGAGCCATTAAATAAATATATATTTATTTTATATTCTTAAAATATGTTTTAAATTATTCATACCTCTCATATGTGATTAGCTGTTTATCTGAATCAGAGATGGCCTCTTTTCCTTGAAAAGAAAGAAAATCAAAAGCAATCCTTAAAAACTAATAATTCAAGCATAATAAGAAGGGTCCTTCTCATGATTAGCACAAAGATAGTAAACTAACTAATTTCTCTTGGAGTCAAATTTGCAATTCCCCTTGCATTTCCAAAAACTGGGAATAGCACTATAGCAGCTTCTTGGTTTTTAAAATGTTAGCAGTTCCACCTCAGTAATATTGAGATGCAGCATCTTCTTTGGACAATTCTGCAGGAAAGAAAAAAAGAACACTGCCAAGCAGCTGTCACAGAAAAGGATTCTGTTTGCCTGTGGCCACAGAAACCAAAGAGAAGTCATCTAATAAGCTGCTGCTCTTGGCAAAGCATAAGATTTGTACAATTAGTACAGAGGCCCTCCAAGGCTGTGTGCTTTCCTCCACTTCTCTTCTCCCTATATAGCAATGACTGCATCTCAAACGATCCATCTGTTAAAATACTGAAGTTTGCTGATGACGCAACAGTGATTGGTCTCATTCAAGACCACAACGAATCCGCATACAGATGGGAGGTTATACAACTTGCCTCGTGGTGTAACTGGAACAATCTGGAACTGAACACACTTAAAACCGTAGAAATGGTGGTAGACTTTAGAAGAAAGCCTCTCATACTGCCATCTCTTACAATACCAGACAACACGGTATCAACAGTAGAGACCTTCAAATTTCTAGATTCTACTATATCACATGACCTAAAATGGACACCTAACATCAAAAACGTCATCAAAAAAGCACAACAAAGAATGTTCTTTCTGCACCAACTCAGAAAGCTCAAACTACCCAAGGAGCTGCTGATATAGTTCTATAGAGGAATTATTATTATCTGCACCTCTATAACTGTCTCTATAACTGTCTGGTTTGGTTCTGCAACAGAACAGACACAGACTTCAGAAGATAATTACTAAATGAGATTATACATAGTGACCAAAATGGATTTTTGCCATTAAGGCAAATAAGGGATAACATTAGAACAATAATGAACATACTAGAATATTACAAAATGCATCCAGGGAAACAAGTGGCTCTTGTTTTTCTGATATAACTTAAATTGGCAATTCATGATTCGATAGGTTAAGGAAATGAAATTCCTCCCAAAAGGCCAATGTAATAATAAATGGAGACATAACAACAGTATTTAGAATAACAAAAGGAGTTTGCCAGGGATGTCCATTGTCACCTCTGCTCTTTATTTTGACATTAGAGACATTATTAATAAAAATTAGAACAAATTTAGAAATAAAAGGAACTAGAATCAAAAAAGAAGAGTACAAATTACAAACATTTACAGACGATTTGGTTTTTTTTATTGAGGAGCCATTAGAGTCAGGGCCAATTCTGATATATGAATTAGAGAAATATGGAGAAGTTTCAGGGCTCAAAATTAATAGAGTTAAAACCAAAATGTTAGTGAAAAATATATCATCAAAAAATAAAAAAGAATTAGAAACTGTAATGAGATTACAAATCACAAAAAATTAAGTATTTAGGAATTGGTTAACGGCAAAATGCTCCTCAATAAAAGAAGACAATTATATGAAATTATTTAATCAAATTAAAAAAGACTTGGAAAAATGGGGGACTTTACAATTATCTCTATTAGGACGAATAGCAACTATCAAAATGAATATCTTACCTAAATTACTATACCTATTCCAAACAACCCCTATAAAATTAAACAAGAAATGTTTAAATAGAATAACCATAAAATTTATCTGGGCAGGTAAGAAAGCACAGATAAAATTAAGAGATTTACAGGATAGCAAGAGCAGAGGTGGCCTTGGACTCCCAGATTGGGAACTCTATCACAAGGCTGCAATACTAGTATGGATACAAGATTGGATTAATTTAAGAAACAAAAGAATATTAACTTTAGAAGGGCATGACCTACAAAGAAGGTGGCATGCTTTCCCGTGGGATAAAGGAAATAAACCGTATCTATATTTTTATAGACATAAAATAAGGGATGCACTGATACAAACTTGGAGACAAATAAAGAAAAAACATTATTCGAAAATCCCAAGCTGGATATCCCCCATGGAAGCATTGATCCACCTCAATACAATGGATGTGAATAAAATGGCCAGGTGTAGGGAAATTTTAGATAATCAAGGGAAATTAAAGAGTAGACAGGAATTGGAAGGGCAGGGAATAAAAATAGATTGGTGGCCTTACCTACAAATACAAACAAGATATAAAAAAGACAGTGAGGAATTTGGAATAGACATTGAACCACAAAAATTAGACAGACTTTTGATTGGGCCAGATGAGAAACTATTATCAAAGATATATAAATACCTATTAGAATTTGATAGAGTAGAAGAGATTGTGAAAGGATCAATGATTGCATGGAACAAAAATATCAGACATAGTATTGATTTAGAAGAATGGGAAAAAATTTGGAATAGAAATTACAAAGTAACAAAATTGGCGGCCTATAAGGAAAATCAACACAAAATGTTTCACCGTTGGCATTTAGCACCTACAAGATTGGCTAAGATCTATCCAAATTTAAAACCAAATTGCTGGAAATGTGGACAGAAACAAGGTACCTTCTTTCATTCATGGTGGTTATGTCCCAAAGTGAAAAAATATTGGGAAATGATACAAATGTGGTTACAGGAGTTAGTTGGAAGCAAAATTGATTTTGTCCCAGAATTATTTCTTTTAGGAATAATAAAAAGAAATTAAAAATAGAAAGATAAAGTATCTGGTGTTATATGTATTAACAGCAGCAAGAATATATATATATATATATATATATATATATAGAAGGTATAGAACTGGTACGTACAGATTGTATCAGATAGGATATGTGAATATCCTATCAACAAAGCATCACATATGTGAATGTACACAAAATGTCACAGCACTGTTTATTAAGTAATGGAGATGTGTAAAAAAGAAAAAAAACCAATAAAGTATTCTTAAAAAAAAACAAGAGTGTACGGAAAAAATAATAGGACCTTTTGGAGACTGAAGAATGAATAAAAAAGATTGGTGAGTATCTGCTTATAAAGGGACTATTCATTTTGAACATATAGTTTAAGTATATGTCTCCTCACACAAACACACTCACACATACATACAAGCACACATAACAATTTGGGACTACATTGCAGTTTTATGTAGGACATGGGGTTGCAGACCAAATTTCTACTTTTCAACAAAGCATCACAAATGTACAAATGTACATTATTGCATGTTTGTGATTTAGAAAAAATAAACGAACTTGAATTATGATATGTTTTGCACTGATAAGGAGTTGAAGGTTGGTTGCTGAATGCAGAAAGTAAAGCACATGTGAGAATGGAATTATTACTAAATGATACAACACTGAGCAAAAAGTAAGATGAAGATGTGTGCTGTCCCTTTTGTATTTTAATATATTAATGATAAATATGTAAAGAATGCTAGTGAACAGCAAGATGACCTAGCGATGAAGATGCTCACCTCCCACTTGGAAGGTTGAGAATTCAATTCTAGGTAGCAGTAGAGATTTCTCTCTCAGGATACAAACAGAAAATAACTGAGGTGAACTCCACTTAGGCATAGAAAAAAAATAAGGAATGATAGCATGCAGAAATAAAATAAAAGTATTGATGATAAGAATAAGAGAGTTGTAGTTTTTTTAAAGAGTATTGCAGAGGACAACAGTGCTATGTTTCTTTATCACTAATATTCTGAATCCCTTAATTCTATGGCTTACGTTAGGATAAATTATCCCTAAAGATTTGTTCTATGTATGCAGGAATTTAAAACTGAGAAACCTAGAAAATGCCTTTTTTCTTTAGTGCCTGTTTCTATAGTATGCCATTCTTTACCCCATTGTAGAGTTGTAATTGCAGGAATATTCTCATCTTGGATGGCAAACCTCAGATAAGGAATGTTTACAAGCAATTACAACTCAGGCAAACAAAGTCACTAATGTAAAGGCGGATTAGAGAGAGGAAGTAAACATAGGTTAGACTTTAACTAGAGATAATTAATTGTGTTAATTACTATGCTAAACAGGAACGAAAGTTAAGCAGAAACCAAAGTTAACCAATGTTGGAGGATTACTAAAAATGTGTATAAATGCAAGACTAGATTCCAATAAAGTTCCTCATGATTCAGTTGATCATGATGAAACACCTCGACTGACTCGTCATTACAACACCCCATGAAATTCACCTGTTTCAACTCTATAAATTTTTAAATGTAAAATAATAATCTTTTCCTGTTGTATTTAATCAGTTGAATTATTTTTGAAATCAGTGCTATATTATTTTATAAATTCATTTCTTAGGTATAATACATTTAATTCAAAATACAAAATTTAATTTAAAATAGTAAGTTTTAGAGATTTCTCCAAATAGCATCTGTAAAATGTCTACTATTTTTGTAAACAGTACTTCCTAAAATATGAAAAATTATGTATTTCTCAATCTATAAATGCTCCCGTTGCACTAATTTTGTTCATATCTGTTTGAATCTGGGTAGCTTGATACCTACAGGAGAAACAACTGCAGTTACAGTTGCTATTGAATTCAAAACAAAATTAGGAAAGTTGCATACATTTCCTAAATATTCTGTTGAACAAAAATAATTAGAGTTATATGTATCTGTCCCTTTCTAGTCAATTTGAAACATCAATCTTGTCTTGGTTTCAGGACTCCTGATTCAATCCAGGTTAAATTATCTACATTTCTGAAACATCATACTGGATACAAATTCAATCTTCTTACCAGTATTCATTCTTTAGAATGATAATAGAATAAAAAAAGAAATTATAGGAAAAATAAATAATGTGGCAAGAAATCTAGCTAAGACACAGGACCAAAAAGCACATAGCATAATACTACCAAAAGAACTGATAGAATAATAGTGCATATAATTAATCTATTAGGAGAGCTATGGCTCTGTGCTTTTGTAGTGTAAAATACAGCCTTATTTTCAAAGAACCTTATTAATCTTACTCAATGGCCTTAGTTTTCCTTCATTCCTGAAGGTACCCAAATCTTCTGTAGTACTTTCTGATCTTTCTTCATGTTTGCTATCATCTTCAAATGAGCTGCTCAAAACTTCATCAAAGTCTAATATTTCTTTCAAAGATTCTGCTGAAGATTCTAAAATATAATCATCATCATTTTGGTAATATTTTCTACGATGCTCCTTTTCATAGGGAATTCTCAGACAAATATTTATTTCAAATATTGGGAAATATTCCTCTTCGCCTTTTAGTTGCCTTTTCACTTCTTCTAGGATCTAAAGTCATATAAAATATAACAAAATTAGAATATTATTTTTTAAAACATCATGCAAATGGAACTAGAGAGCATTGAAAACAAAAGATTTTCAATCTAAAACAAGGAACAAAAATCCATTATTTTTGACTTGATACTAATCAATAGAGAAGATTACATTGTGATAATATGCATTTGAATCTGTTGTAAAGCATGAAGAGATTTTTGAGAAAGATGGAAAATGTATTTAATCTTCATAAGTTTTTTTTTCATAAGGAACCATGAAATTATTTTGTTATTTGAAGGCAAGATTTTGTCTTTAAAGGTATAACAATGAATAGCTTTCAGCATGTATTTAAGCTTAAATTTAAACTATTAAATTTAATCATTATTATATGTATTAATAAGATAAATATGAATTATTGGATAATCTGTGTTGTAAATTATCTTCATTTAGAAATCAATTCACCTTGTCTATATCACTGACAGTAACAATATCATGTTGTGCTTCTGTTTCCTTTGAACGGTGCAATAATTTCTGGGTGCCTTCAAAATGCTCATTTTCATATACCCACAGGCATCTATTTTCAGTCAATAAGAAAAGTGCTTTCTCAATTGAATTTTTATATGTTCTGTATATGTGAAAAAATAGGAAAAATCCTAATTGATATTTTAAATAGCATAATTCATTTTAATAACTGACAATACCTCAAGGTTATTTAAGGTTACTAGGAGATAGTTGGGATGTGGCCATACTGGAAGATAGAATAGATATTTAAGACAACTCCCAGAATTCTCCAGTTAGATGGGGCTTACAAATAGTGAAGGCAGAGGAGGTGACCATCTTGAACGATGCATACATGTGAGAGACAATATTATAGCTTAGTTAATAGATATTTCCTTTTTACAAGAATAAAGCTATCACATGTAACTCAAAGACATAAAGGAGCAATAAATTATTATTAATTTGCTTAATTATACACTATATCAATTTTTATTTAAAATATAAATATTTGGCCTGTCACTTATGCTCCATAAGAAGCCTTTACTCCAAGAATTATTTTATAATTTTTATAATGTAACCTGAACTTAAAAATAAAGGAAATATAACTGTAACAATAATATTAAATAATAATTAATCTAAGAGAATTTTATAAACAATATTATTAAATATGAGCTAGTGTTTTAATTATGAAATAGATGCATGAAACTAACCTCATAAGGCTTTCATTTGTCTTCTTTTTTGAAATGGTCATATTACTGGAACCTTTAAATATCTCCAAAAGAGTATTTATGGCATTGTTTACCAATCTGCGAAGAAATTCTTGAAAGATTCTATCTACAAGCTTAAGAAACTTAGAAAAGCGTTCCATAATGTGCCGCCATTCAGCTATCTCAAAGTATTTTGGTTTCTCTTTTAAATCATACAATGAAGGCTGAAAAAGTGTTTCTGCTCCTTTCTCTTTTGCTACCTACAGCATTATGAAATAATAAATTTGAAAAAGTAATAAATATATACAGTATTTTCATCATGTAGACATTTTGTATTATTTACTTTTCTTCATCATCCTTTTTCAATAAGGAAAACAAAGTTTGAAGATGTTTCATCCATAAATATTTCTTATCAGAATTGCCATATAACAAGAAGGGCGGTAGTGGTGGTAGTAAATAACAACTGCAACCATAGCCTTGATGATTGAAAATTGACTATGTTTGACCACAGTACGAGAAACTCTTATGGAAGACAAATGGGAAAGCTGGACTGAAAAGTAACCTTACTTTGAAAAGAATCCAGAACCTCTAAGAATCAGAAACTTCTAACATATCAAGATAGCCAAATTAAAAATATTATGGTAGAAATCATTCTCCACAATCCATAGAAAATTGATAGCATTGTCATTGCTTGTGCATGAAATTAACAAGTTCAAGAGCTAAAGCTCTGTCACATTTCAAAACTCCTCATGTAATTACAGTAAAGAGATCAAAATATTGGGGCATTCATATCAATTGAAGATGAAATACCCAGGATTTTTAAAAAGAAAGAGATTAATGATAAGATTGAGAATTCATGTCAATTTTCCAGAAATCCTATAAATCAACAATGAAAGGGATGAAATGGGATGTGAAAATAAACTTTTTAGATCTGTGCTACATTTTAACAAATAAAGAAACACAACTTTTTGAAATGGAAGGCCTTTTTTTGTTGCAATGTTTTCTTACTCGAAGAGCTAGTAGGTTTTGCTGTTGCTGCTCCATGGAATAGATATTGGTACTGGAATGGGAAAGAAATACTACAGCAGCCTCACTGATCATGCAAATAGTATGCACATTTTATTTGATAACTATAGCTAAGACTTAATCATGACTGACATAATTAGAATATGTTAATCATAAGACATGAGTTATTCAAATTAACAGAAGTGTCAAAAAGGATAAAAGTTCCAGTGTATATGAAAAATGTATGATTATATAGCCCGGATTCATGAGCCATTGATCAATAGGGAAATGTGTGAATGTATCCCGAGGAAAGGTGAGCCAACTGCAGTTACTTCAAAAATATGAGCAACCATGCTCATATCATATTCTGATGGAAGGCAATGTCTGTGAAAGAGACATCATATATGCAAGCAATCTGGAAATGGTGAAAACTCATTAAGTCATAATCAGAATGATCATAGTTTGGAACATCTTGTTAGATGATCCTGATCTTATTGTTGAAGACTATGTAAAGGAAGCAGGGATCCAATACTGAGAGATGACAACTCCTCTAATATAATAGAATCAGCCATAGGTGTGTCACATTATGGAAAACCTGATTCTTTTTCCAGCATGACTAAAGGGTTATATTTTTTCAGAAATTAATAGTTGTAAAGAACATCTACACTGGTGTGCTAAGTACTACTGACATCTATCACCATCAAGTCCTTGTTATCATTTTGTATTTTAAATTCATTTTATATACTTTTGTATATGTAGTTAGTTACAGTTATATGTAAACAGAACAATTAATCAGTGGAATAACTTGCCTCTAGAAGTTGTAAATGTTCCAACACTGGAGATTTTTAAGAAGAGATTGGACCACCATTTCTCTGAAATGGTAATGGTTTTTCTGTTCGAGCAGGTGGTTGGACTAGAAGACTTCCAAGGCCCCTTCCAACTCTGTTATTCAGTTATGCTTTCACATATTTTTGTATATGTATGCTGTATGCCTGCTTTTAATTTTGTCAATGAGAGCTATAGAGAGATGCATTGGTCATTGATGCTGAAGTGTTAGATTACTGCACCATTCAGTGTACCAAGAAAATGTCAGAATATTCATGAACTGGCAGAGACATGGTAACAAGGTCAGCCAATGAATAGCAGGGCAACAGGTCAGCCAAGGAGAGCTAAATTAGAAACTGAAACTGAAGGATTCTGGGCGTGGCCCTGCAGCTTTGAGTGCTGTGCTGAGAAATGAAATTATTCTGCTCTGACCTCTGAAGCTGCTGTTTATTGTTTTACTTGTAACTACAAACATGTTGGAAGAATCTATTATTGATATTGTACATTTTAGTCATATATTATCATGTATATAAAGAAGTTAATGAATCCTGCTGAATCAGTCATCTTGTGTGTGCTTTCTGAATTTGATTTCTGCAATAAATTCTAACAGAAAATAATTGAACAAGATGATGTTTCTGGTCCTTTCCAATAATTTTCTTCTACAATTTTATTAAAACCCCTTTTTTGATGACTTGTTCAGAAAAACATGCAGAGATTTCTGTGGCCTTTTACCTCCAGAAAATATGGTTTTTAGTTAGTTCTGAAGCAAAATTTGAATTAATCCAACAGAAATATCTCATATCCCCAGAGAGAGAAAATAGTATATGTAAGCATCTAACTCCAAAATTATGCATTAATCTGCTAAGAATGTTAAAAGGAGGGTAAGATTATTGTGATTAAATAGTAAAACATCTTATTCATTATTCTTATTACATACATTATTCATACATTATCAGATCAGAAAAATATTATTATACTTACTGACAGTTAAGTCTTAACAATATAACATAAGAAAAATATTAAAATATATTAGAAATATTTTCAATAATGAACATAAGATAAAAATGCAAAATATATATAAAATGCATTAATTACTTTTAAAAAGCAGGCCTGAATTACTTCGATTACTTTATCTTTAAAACTTTGGAGTTGAGATAAAGCATGTTGACTCTGTTGATATTGTTCCTCACAAAATTCATCCAATGTGTATGTATAAGCCGTATTTATCTAAGAACAAAAGAAAAATATTATAAATAAGTACAATTTCCCTGAAATGGATACAAATTTTTATGTATTTTTCTCATTCATCTGCATAAGAATAAATATTGGCACATCAACAATAACATATAAAAAGTGAACAGTTCACACACATACAAATATACTGTGATATTAACATATCACGAATGATATAGCTGCTAATAAATTTTCCTAAGCTGCATTAATGGGCAATCAAAACTTGAGATGCAAAATTTCAGACTTCCAGTTTGAGCTTCTTCGGCGACAGACCGAAACCGCGTCTCTGTGCAGTTCCGATCCGTGCTCGCGGCTGGAGCGCCCCGAGCCAGCTGGTTTCGGGGCTAAGCCACGCCGTAGAGGTGGTGAAGAAGGGGGAGACTGTCTGCAGGGTTGAGGAGAGCTACATCTCTCCTCCCCAGCTGGCCATTACTCCCTTTCCCGAAGGCGGTTGTAGTGGTGGTCAGAAATGGCCACCACAAAGAAGAACTCGACCGGAAAAGAATGTGCAGGAGGAAGATAAGAAGAGAAAGTTTTGGTTGACCAGGTCAAACAGCAAAAGCAACAAATAAGGTACCCTGGAATTGAAACTATTAAAAAAATACCAATAACATTGTTCCCTAAGAAGATTTCTAAGCTGCGAAGGAGAAAAGGGAAAGGATTTAGTTTTTTTTCTCCTCTTCCTATACTGACAGCTAAGAGACTTAAGCAAGAAATTGGAAAAAAATCCACTTTGACATTAATAGGCATTTAATGCTGAAAATAAAAAGTCAAAGGGATAATAAAAATTTCTGGATAATTAAAAGCTTTTGAAAACAGGAAAGGAGAGAAAAAGAATAAAAGAGCAGGATCTGGAAGGGAGGAGACTGCCTGGAATTAAAAAGAACTTACAGCAAAATCTCAACAAGACTTCCAAAAGATACATCTTAACTGAAACATCGCAACAAAATAGTAAAACCCCAGGAAGAGAAAGTGAAAAAAGAAATAAGAAGAAACAGCTTGGGACTATTTGGATTACTTGGTGATCTCTGGATTCTTCGTTATTGCATCTGAATGACTAAAATCAATCAGGTGGTTGCTTAAAACTGTTTAAAATGGCTCCACTTTTAGAAGAACTGAAAATGAAACTTAAAAAGTACAAAGAAGATGCACAAGAAGGGAGAGGTTCTTTTGGCTTCGTATTTCAGTTCATAGAAATGGAGATTTGGAACTATGAGAAACAACAAGAAATGCCTGCAGAACAAGGAGATTGGGACAAAGAAGAAGCCATCTTTAATGAACAAGTAATCTTAGGTGGGGGAAAAAAGGAAAGGGGGGAAATAGAATGGAAAGTTTAAGATTGGGAAAAACAACCCCCCCCCCCAAAAAAAATAGAGTGAAAAATAAGTATAAAATCAGAAAGCAACAGAAGAGGGAAATACTGAAGAGAGAATTAGAACTAGAGAGACAAGGGGGTAAAAAGAGGAGGGAGAAGAAGAGAGGGAAGAAAGAAAGGAAAAGAAGTTATAAAGGACAGAAACAAAATATGGAGAAACAGGGCCTATTGAGAGATAATGGGTGAAAACCTAATGGAAAAAGGGATTCTGCAAAGGTACATAAGATAGTATTGTTATATTAGAAATAGAAATAATTTCAGAAAATATGAAACAATGTATGATTAAAATGTTTTATAAAATAGTTATCATAAATGGAATGCTTGTCAATAAATAAATGTAACAAAATGAATATTTAATGATTTACAAAACATATGTGAAGAGAAATAAGGGAAAAATTAATTATGGAGATTATATATGTTTTTAAGGAAGTATGATATTTAATTGAAAAGAAATGTTAAAGAAGTTAAGACTTTAATGATTATTAATGATAGAACTGAATTGGAATGGAATGAGGGTTTATAATTACATATATTTATACTTTTTTAAAAGAATATAGTGTGTATTATAAGAATGTACCAAGCAGAATTCGATTGGAAGTTATGTATTATGTATTATATTGAAGGTCATAACCTTAAGGTATGTATTGAAGTTTAAATAAGAGTTGAATGGATATAATTAAAAGATATAAAGGTGTCCTACTCCAATTAGTAACTACAGGAGAAAATGTGTTTAATGAGAAAAGATAACATGAAATTGAAACAGAACAGACAAAAGTATAAATATAATGGTTTGAATTGAGATGAGATAATCAAAATAAAATTGAGAAAATTAAAAGAGGGGAAAAACCATATAGAAAATGTAGAATACACAAAAAGGAGCATGAAATTGAGTTTGTGTCTGTATAAAGAAGTTCAACCTGGGACCATGCTATTTTCAAAAAAGATGTTTTACTTGTATTTTGTGTGTATGAAAACCCAAATAAAACTTTATTAAAAAAAAACCTTGAGATGCAAAATTTTGTAAAATTTTAAAATCAGGGAGCAATAGAAGGAAAATGTGGCCCTAAATCCCCAATTTGAAATGTCCATCTGAATGAATTTATTTAGCATTAGACTGTGTCACTTGCTGACCCTCACATGCAGAATTCATCAATACAAATTTTGATGCCTCCAAATATCTGGTCAGCCCAGATGTGTGTGTATGAATATGCAGAGAAAGGGGAGGAAGGAAGAAATTGAATGGTTTTGTCACACTTTCAAACTACTATTAATGTTAGTATAAAGATTATAATTAATAGTTGATCGAGTATATATCATTATATATTTATATTATATATATTATATATTATATATAAGGAATGTACAATAGCAGGAATGCTATGATGAATACTTCTATAGTAGAACATAACCATGAAGGTAAAAACATAAAAACATGACTTTTAATTTGTTTTTCTTTTAACATTTTCCCATTTCTCATACAAGCTATAAACTTGTATGTAACATACCGCATTAAAGCATGAAACTGAATCAAACTAAAAAATTAGAACAAAACCTATCCTCTCTCCTTAGTACTGAAGCTTCAATTTTTCAGTGCAGACTCAGGTAGAAGATTGCAGAATGGTAGATCTCTGAGTGAATCTCTGATCCTGTGAGCAACTCAATCTGCCAGCTTTGCCTGATTTTCGGTAAAAGTTGCTTTTTTTATTTAAAAAAATCCTCAATATTTACATAAATATTTATAATATTTACATAAAAGCCATGCCCAGCCAGTCACACCCAAGCCACACCCAGTCAGCAAGCCACGCCCAGCCAATCACATGATCACCAAGCCACACCCACAAATTAGGCCACGCTCATACAACCAGTTGTTGAGAAATTTGAATCCCACCCCTGCCCAGGATGTTGTAACCATTGTAAATACATGCTGGTTGCCAAGCACCCAAATTCTGAACATGTGACCCTGGAGATGCTGTGACAGTTATAAGTGTGAGAATTTTTTTCAGTGCCATTGTAACTTCAAAACAGTCACTCAATAAATGGTTGTAAGTTGAGAACTACCTGTATATTTATTATTTGTGCCTTCAAATCAGTGTTGAATTCTGAAACTTTTTTGGCAAGATTTTGGTTTGCCATTTTCTTCTTCCTAGGGCTTAGAGAGTGATCAGCTGGCTTTTTGCCTAAGAGGGACACAATATAGAACTCACTCTCCCAGTTTCTAGCCTGATGCTTTAACCACTACATCAAACTGGCTCTTATTTCATTTTTTTACACATTTAAAATATTTACTCTCACCTTTATGAAATTTATAGTTGTTTTTTCAGATGATCTGGGCTTCTCTGAATTACTCACATCTACACACAAAGTTTGGAGATAAAGTAAGCAACTTTGCAGTATCTCATCAGCAAAAAATAGTTGCTTATACAATATCATTCTGCAAACAGAATAATATGAATATTTTAAATTACTACATGTTTTCAGTTTATAATAAATATAAGTTGACATGTGCTTGGAATTCAGCAATTCATCTTGAAAGTCATTATCTCACATATGGATTTATTTACTTTTTCTGAAGGAGACCCTAAACTAAAACCAGAGAAGAATTGCAAAGGAAAGGCCATATTTCTCAATGGTTTGCCTATGCTCAATTAACTGAAAGATTTAAATTGGATAAGGAAGAATTTGTTGTTACCAATGGGAAAATTGATTTCGAGTTGGATTTATGTACGAATAATGAACGTGTGATTGCTAAGATGCATAAATTACTATTGAAAATTAATATGGAGGATGAAATGTTAAAGATTGTATAATCAAATGGGCAAGATACTTTGATTATAACATAATCCGTGATCAATGGGAGAATATGTGGAAAAGGGGACTGGAATTTACACTGAATAATAATTTGAAATAGAGAGATGATGTATCATTGGCATTTAGCACCAATCAATTATCAGAGGGTTTGTATAAGGGTGTGTCAAATACATGTTGGAAATGTATAAAATCTGAAGGCATTTTTTATCATTTCTGGTGGCCATGTAAGAAAACTAACACTTTTTGGAATCAGACAAGTATTTTTAACTCCGACAATTCGTAGACTGAATGTACAATTGAAACCAGAGGCTTTTCTTATATATTACAATTATCTGCAAGGCTTCTCTATGTAGAGAGATGGAAGAACTCATATATACCCTCAATGGAAAAATGGATGATGAAATTAATGGAGTTGGCAGAGATGGCAAAATTGACAGCTCTGATTTGGAAAATATTATATTTCGCTTAGTTTTTACTTGGAAACAATTCTTGTATGTAGAACCCATTCTTCGTCTTAAAAAGGCAATACCAATGCTGATTCATCTTCAATTGCATCAGACTTACATTGCATCAGACTTACAGCAGCTGGCAGCTATTGAATCTTATACTTCAACACTTGACATTGAAAGAAATGAAATTTTGACCTTGGGTTGTATTATTTGTAATAGTTCATTCTAATTCAAAGAGTCATTGATTTTTAAGTTTATATCTGTATCAAATAGTCAAAAGTTACTTTTTTCTATACTTTCCCCCCCTTTTCCCTCTACATTTTTGTATTTTATATACTTTTTGAAATTTAATAAAGTTTTGAAAAAAAGGAAGTCATTATCTGAAATGTAAAGACTTGATACACTCTCCAGAATAAAAGGGGAGAAATAAAATAAAATAATTGTTGATCCTGTGCTCTCTGCTTTTCCTGAAAGATAGGAGGAATGAACTTTTGTGTGACTATCATCTCACACAAAAGAAATTATTTTAAATGTTTTCCAACATTTTGGTGAAACCCTACTAAAATCATTGAATCACGAATTAGATGAGTTAGAAATGTATGTTTTCTATAACAGTGGTCCCCAACCACCGGGCCCCGGACCGGTACCGGTCCATGGATTGTTTTGTACCGGGCTGCAAAGAATGTTTGTTTGGGCACCGCCATCTTGTTTCAGCTTCCTGAGTTGCCTTAGCATGCTCGGTTAGTTAAGAAATGCCCTACCCAGAGAAGGAAGTGGTGCTGGAGGAGGAGGAGGAGGCAGTAGTGGAGAAGCAAGCAACCCAGGGTGCTACCGCTGTGGCAGCTTTGCCTGCATTTCCGAGGCTTTGATGTTGGGAGAGGCAGCAAGGGCTGGAAAAGGGGAGAGCTGTGCAAGGCTCCGTCTCCCTTTCCTGCCTGCACGTGGGTGGGAGGGAGGAAAGAGAGAGAGCCGGGAGCAATTCAAGGCTAGAAAACTAATGGGGAGAGCTGACAGTGGGCACTGGGGGTGGGGACTGTTGTTGCCACCACCGTGTGTGGGAGCGTGCATCTCAAGGATCTGAGCTGGGAGGCGCGAGAACTGCAAGTAGGAGCATTTGATGATTTTGAAGAACTCCTGGAACATGGTAGATTGCCATTTTGTAGGTCTCAGTGAAAGAGTGAGCTTTGTTTTGTCTCCTTTCCTCCCCTGGTAATGCGAGAGATACTTTCTCTCTTCCCCCCCACCCCCAAATAATCACTGGCTGTGGCTGGGTTTGGCAGCGAAGTGCTAAAGCGAGCGAGGTGCCCCCAGGGACACCTTTCCTTGCCTGTCTCCAGGTGAGGCTGGAAGAGCCCCCCCCCAAGCTTTTCCTCGGCTGCAGATCTGAGCCTCTCAATCCTCCACCCAGGATCTGAAAGGAGCTCCCACTTTCTCCCCCTCCCCCAATTAATCGCCAAGAGAGGCAGTCCTTCTGCAGACAGATGCCTGCTGAGAAGCCCCTGGAGTGGCAGCCAAGGGGCGCTGCCCCTCAAGGAGAGCAAAGCCCCCTTTCTCCCTCTGCTTCTCCCAACAGCAGTTGCCCCGAGGCCCCTCAACTCAGACACACACACACACACACACACAGCCTGCTCTTCTGTCTCTTTGGAAGGTGCCAGGTGGGGGAGGCTTCCAGCCCAGAACATTTTATTTTGTTATTATTAAGCATTTACAATAAGTGTGTGTGTGTGTGTGTTTGTGTATGATGTATGTGTATGTGTGTGTGTGTGTGTGTGTGTGTGTGTGTATAATATTAACATAAAAATTATATTAAATATATTAGCTTTTTAAAAAAATCATATTAGTGGTCCTCAGGATTTAAAAGTATGAATTTAGTGGTCCCTGAGATCCAAAAGGTTGGTGACCCCTGTTCTATAATATGCAGGTCTCCCTGATAGGTGGCCATTCTCTTCTTCAGTGTGGAATGTTTTACTGTTTAAGAGATAGATAGACAGACAGACAGACAGACAGACAGACAGACAGACAGACAGATAATGTTTATTGTCATTTTTACAGCAGACACTGGCACACATTAAAAATGAAATTCTGTTGCCTGCTCTAAAAAGTATAGACATATAGCTCTACACACACACACACACACACACACACACACATCACTGTCCATTTTGAATACATATCAGAAAGAGGAAGGTTGAGTTTCTACTATCAGAAATACCATTGGTTCTTATCCTGCCTGTAGTTCCATGAGTTTAACAGGTGTAACCTCTCTTTATGACAGCCCTTAAATAGGTGTTGTTTGCTATTTCTTATCTTTTCTTTTGTATACTAAACATTCTCAGCAACTTCAAGTGTTCCTCGTAGGACTTAATCTCTTCCAAATCTCTTATGCTTCTAGTTTTTCTCTGAACTTGTTCTAATTTTCCATATTTAAAGTGTACCATCCAGAGCTGACCATGGTATTCCAATGTAGTTTAAGCAGTTCAGAGTGCAATGGAGCTACTATCTCTCATGGAGCAGCTCAACTCCCACGATAACAACAACACAATCAATTCAGCCACTTGACCATCTCCATCTCCATTTATAGTCCCCAGACCCACTGACAAAAAACATGTTTTTACAGCCTTTCAGAAAAGCAGTAAAGTGGGGGTCAATTGTACCACAGAAGGAATGATGTTCCATAAAGAAGTCACTACCAAGAATGTCCTTTTTTATGGTTCTACCAGATCACATTCCATAATCAATGGGACCATGCAATCTTAGACCCTTAACACATACACCATTATCCTTAAAATATGCACATATCCTCAACATGGTAGTTTATGCATTGGATTTTTCCTCTTTAGACTGTTTTACATTTGTTATTTTTTAAAAGATGTTTCCCCCCTGTAAAAAGGGTAATCAACTCACTTAGTACAAATATCTGGTCTTTATATACTTACTGGTTTCTTTTTGTTTTTGAATACTTAACAATATTTTTCCAGAGGATAAAATATTTCTTTTTTCTGAAAAGAAAAGAAAAATCTTCTGAGAAAGAGAGAAACAGATTTGATTGTATAATGATTGAGCCAAAGATATATAATTTATTTTGTATAACTATTACCCACAAATATTACATATTTAACATAATTTCATATGAGTAAAATGTAATAATTATTTTAATAGAATATGGCTTCCCTGATGGCTTCCCCACTGAATTTCTGAGGAAACCAGCAGAGAAAATAGCCAATGTTAATCACATGAGGTTTTCAAAGAACAATAGGACAGTCACTTGTCCTGAATAGTATAATGCAGTGATGTGATGGCTAACTTTTCAGCACTGAGTACCCAAAGCATGCGTGAAACACGCATCCCCAAAATGCAATGCATGTACGTCCCCCATGCATGCGCACCTCTGCGCATGCACCTTGCCACCCCAAATGCGCCGTTCACATGCGTGTATGGCACCTGCACATGTGCCCTGCCCCCACATATGCATGTGTGTCTCCTGCATGTGTGGCATCCCCGGGCATGTGCCTCGCCCCCTGCACATGCATGGCAGAGACCCGAAGACCAGCTGGCTGGCAAGAGGCATGTACGCACACACGCAGCAGAACTGAACTGGGGTGATGGCTCGTGTGCCCGTAGAGAGGACTCTGTGTGCCACTACTGGCACATGTGCCATAGGTTTGCCATCACAGGTGTAATATTTCCTCCTTGGGAAAGGGGTTGTACTGGGAGATTTCAATTTTTTTTCCAGCTCTATGATTCTATGATATACCATCTAGTGTAGTCTTAAATCTCATTCCATGTGCTTTGATAGCCAGGTTTGAAATGAAGATGTTCAGTACAGTAGGAAGCTAGCTTTATATTGAGGTGCAAGAAGAAATATCTCTGGGGGAATCCTTCCATGTTGCTATTTGTGCACATTAAGACTATGTTGTCCTATCTCAAATGCTGAAATAAAAAGTGCTATAAATTAGTAACCCCCAATGTATACTGTGATTCCCACCCTCGGGAAAAAATCCCCCCTAATGAATTCCCTGAATACAATTGACTATGAATCTTCTGTCATGAGATTTATTTATCATCACTCTAAAAATTTTCTGAACACTCTGACATAGAGAAAAGTGGAAAGGCTTTGAGTTGGTAATCATCTTTTGATGTATAACACAGGGAGTTATGGATTAATGAATATGGTAAAATGAACTTCTATGGAAAATCTCTATAGCTGAAAAATGCTACAGTTTACACACTGAACTGTTTTGTCAAACATAGCCAGTCACAACATCCAAAATATCCTACTACAGATTGAGTAGATAATTGCACATATATCTTTGTTCCATAAATATGTCTTACCTGAAATTAAAATATAAATCCATGTTATGTAACACATTATAAAGTTGCCTTTCATATAACCATTCCATCACTGGAGTTATTTCCATTTCATGCTTTCCACACACTGAAGTGAACTGGAAAATGAGGCAAAAGCTAACTAGAATATTTAACTATGTTTCAGTATTTATTAATTTACATTCCATCATCATAATTTTTATGTCCAAATGAAGGAAAACCTTTATAGCACATTCCTTCAACAGTCCTGCCAAACGAAACCACAATAATATTTGTTTAAAGCAAGGATGAGTACCATGTGGTCTGAAATTTATATTTATTTATTTCTTGGTGAGAAAATGGCTTCTTTTTTTTATCTTTTCAAAATTAAGAATGGAACCTGGAAGCCATGATAGCTCCAATTCAAACCACTTGAATTCCCATTCTTAAATTCCCACTCAAAAAGCAGGGGGGCAAACCCTATTTCATAATTATGCTATCAAAATTCAGCACCCCAAATTAACAATTATTTTTGAATTTTGTAAAGTGATTATTCGGGATGAAAACCATTTAGCTACAAGAAACATACTGCTCCAATTCTCATTATTACTCCCTACCCAATGCAAGAAACATCATAAACAACTCAATGCCACCACTTCTCTTGCAATCTTCCAATTTCAGAAGCTAAATATTGATAATGATCACTAATTCCTACTTATGAAAGATAAATAAATAGGCAGTAGTGATAGAAACCTGCAACTGAAAAATCTGTTCTGCTCCATTGCACTGTAATGTTTCTACATTTTTACCTTTAGATGGTGCTGCTGAATTAGAAAAAGAAAAAGTGATGCAGCGATCATTCTTTGTGGTTGTCTTTTTAAGAACGGGGTGGGGGGAATACTGTGCACAAACTATCTTTGTGGCCTGCAAACCCAGCCATACTTTTTTATTTAAACCCTTTTATTTTTATCATTTTTTTCATTAAATAATATGCTTAAGTATACCCAATCTGATGGGGACTAGCCATCTTTAACAATATCCATGAGACAGCTGGAGGGTGGAGTCATTTGGCATTTTATTGGGAAAAAACTTTGAGAAAAAAAAATACAGGGATTCAAATGGACATGGTCCCAAAAGATTAGATTAGAATTAGATTAAAATTAGATTAGAATTCTTTATTGGCCAAGCGTGATTGGACACACAAGGAATTTGCCTTGGTGCAAATGCTATCAGTATACATAAAAGATAAGATACATTCTTCAAGAGTCAAGAATCATAAGGTACAACACTTAATGATAGTCATAGGGTACAATAAGCAATCATACTAGGAAACAGTCAATATAGATCATAAGGATACAAGCGACAAAGTTAACAAATTTTATTCACTCTTCCTTGTTCTTGTTGGGAGAGGAAAGTAAAATGAGCAAAGCTGATATTTCTTCTATTCTATTCTTTTAGAGTTTACATTAGTTTTTCATTGTTTGATCTATAGTTCAGAAGCACAGAAATAGGTCAGAACCAGTCTGACAGTGCTTACCATTCTGTTCTTGCACAAGCAGTCCTTCTGAAAAAACATCTATGGAGTACAAGTGTGAATTAATATATTTCAACTGCTTGTCTGTGTCTTGTTATCTTTCCTCAGGGAAATGCAAATAAAGTTTTATTTTATTTTATTATTTTATTTTATGCCTCAATTCAATTGAATTCTAAGGCATGCAACTATTGCACAAGGACTTTACCAGAGGTGGTATTCAGCAGGTTCTGACCAGTTCTGGAGAACCGGTAGCAGAAATTTTGAGTAGTTCAGAGAACTGGCAAATACCACTTCTGATCGGAGATTTTACTGTATCCTTCCCCTGCCACACCCACCAAGCCATGCCCTGGTAGTAAAAAAAATTGAATCCCACCACTGGACTTTATGTTTCTGTATAGGAAAAAAAACTAGATATAAGAAATAATCAGGGAACAGTAATTTGCTATTTCAGGACTGTGAAAAGCGATCTGTTACCTTGGATACATATGAGGCACTAATAGTCCAATACTCTTTACTTCGTCTAGCCATATTTGCAGAGACCACTTGAAGATCATATGGATTGTAGGCTGCTTTGGGGTCATCCCTACTTCTTATAAGACAGTATATGTATTCTCCATCATCTTTTTTTAATGCATCATCCTGAAAACAGTAATCAAGTGGTAAAATGTGAATTATAAACATGAAAACTGTAATCATAATTCATTTTGTTAAAATATATAAGATATAGTTGAGGTACTTAAGTTGAATTGATGTAAAATAGAATGTATTTCTTACATTTTAAAGATAACATTCAGAAAAATTGGAACAGATTCACAGAAGGGTCCCGAAATCCCGATCATTTAGAATGATTAGGAACTAGAAATCATGAAGTGAAATTAGAACAACCAAGTGTTTTTTATTTTGCAGAAAGATGATAGCAGAGTGTAATGGTACTCTTCAACTACCTGAAAATAGTCCATTCCAATGATTATATATAATCATTAAATAAAATAAAAAGTCAAAGAAAACCATAAATTACTGTTAGCATACCTAACTCTACTCAGGAAATAGGAAGGAAGTACATTGTGGAAGCTTCAATAATTTTAGAATTTCCTCTAATTGCTGTCTTTTTAATGGTTCTGCAATCAATTAGATATTGAAAGAGGCAAAGAAACCATGAAATATTTTCATACACTGGCTGTTCCAGCAAAATTAAATTCAGTAATTAAAGAAAAGCTAAATTATTTCTTGGGTAGTGGATGGTTAAAATCTTAAATAATTTACATCACAGGTGTCAAACTTGTGGTATTGTGTTGCTGTCACATGATGCTTCACAAGGTTTTTTCCCTTCGCAGAGCTGGGGTGGGTGTGGCCTAAGCATGATGCATCCAGCCCATGGGCTGCCAGTTTGACACCCCTGATCTACATGTTTAGATAAACTACATAAGTAGCTGTTAGCATTTCCTGAAGGAAGGTATCTGGTTACCTGGTTAATTGATAATCAATTATCAATTGGTTATGAGCATTAACTGAGCATTAATAAATCCAGTACCCATTGTTAATAACTTAATCATGAAGAGCCACTTACATTCCAGCTAATAATTTTTCTTTTGGTTTCTTCTCCCACTTCTCCCTCTCATTCCTTCTTGAGCAGTATTCTTTAATATTTAATTAAGCCACTCAAATGTAATTCATCTATTGAATTCCATGAGTGGGAGAGCAGAACTCTAACTGCCTTTGCTTGGACCTCTGTGTTTGGACTAACCTCTTACTAACAGCCAACCTAGAAAATGTATAGTTAACCATGGTATCTCCTAAGTTTTTGTATTTTTTTTCAAAAACAAGAGAGCCAAGATTCTGGTCTAGAGAAAACACAGAACTGTTATTGCCAAGGGAACAATAGCCACCAAGAGACCAGGTGCTATGGTCTCAGGAAGGAATCCCTATTTTTTCTACTAACCAAATGTCCTGCCTATTTACTTAAATAGCAAACTAGCATATATCATATAAGAAGCAGGTAATGAAAATATAAAAAGTAGAATCGTTCAAATATCCAGAACAGCAATAAAAGACATGCTTCTAAGCTCAGCCATCTATCAATAAGGGAGGGGAAATAATCTAGGTCTAGGACCTTCATGCTAATACATTCTTTTAGTAGTATAGAATGACCCAGTAAGATATCTCTGCAGTGATGTGCTAGATGCTCTAGTAGATAGACAAGGGTTTCCGGTCTAATGATCTTCCTAAGATTTGTGTGAGAAAGAGACAGCATTTCTTTTTTGCTCTTTTACTATTAAAATGAAACCAGGTCAAAGAATATAACCCTTTCCTGATAAACAACAATAAGACTCAGAGCCATAGATAATTGTGATGATGATTTCCATTACTGCCTTTTTGTTATATCTTCTATATCTGTTATATCTTTTAGAAAAAAATGAACACATAAAATCATATCACAACTATTTCATAAAATCTTCAAACATTTGTAAGATTCTTTGCTCTTAAACTTCTGCCTCCTTATTTTCACTATGTCGCTTATTCCCTACCCAATTGTTTTGCAAAGACATAATTTATTTTGATTATTTCTTTCAGGTATAAATACAGAAAAACTTCAGAATCTTCCAAGGCCTCTCTTTTCCCAAAAATCCCTTCTGGTATCTTTTTCTTCCTTCTACCTCTATTTTAGGCAACTCAATTTGCTAAATTTAAACTTCTCTAACAATCCTCATATAGCCTGAAGCTAGAGAATTTGAATCTAATAGCTCCAGCCTAGATGGTCCCTTTACTACAGTATTTGAGATTCATATTGTTTACATCTATTTGGAGTTTAACTTAAAATATATTTTATTTTTATTCTGCACAAATATTTTCACTTCAGAATCTGATTGCTATTTCCTCAACTATGGTAATAGTATTAGAATGTACCATTTTTGCTATTACACACATAAATTATTTGAATATGTTTTATGTGAATTATGTCAGTAAATCTCATCAATTGGAATAGATTATTAGTGCTAGATATGCTACTTGATCCTAAGACAAACTGCATATTTTGAGGAAAAGGAGACTCGTAACAATCTCTGATCAATGCCAGATTTCACAAAATCAAAAATAGAGGGTTCCAGCAACTCAAAGCTGGAGTTGAAAGAATCAACAATTCCAATATCATGACAAATTAAAAAGAACAGATAAATTTTCAAAAACACAACAAGGAGTAGACTAAAATTCCAGAGTTCTAGTAACCAAGGAATTCAACATGACAACCTTTTCTTGGCAATTATATAAAATGTAAAAATGTCTATAATAGTCTTTCTCTGCATTCACTCCTCCTTCCCAATTATTTATTTATTGTTTGCTTGTTTATCAAATATATGTGGCTGCCCATCTCACAGGAAGTGACTCTGGGTGGCATACAACAATTCAATAAAACAGTAAATATATAAAGCAATCATTACCCAAAACATTATAAAGTAATTATTTTTAAAAGCATTAAAAACCATAAAAGCAGAACTAAACCAAAAAAGAACATAATAATTGGAGGGATTTTAATAACTCAGCTACCTTATAAGTTGTCCCAACCTCTGGGATCATTCAGATTAAAAAGTCCTGGAGTTTTTTAAAAAAACTATTTTCAATTTTGTTTGTTATAAAAATGGAGACTGTGATGCTGAAGTGATGTGCAAGCAAGTCTTCCAAAGATCTCAGGAAAACCTTATTTTTTTCCCCCTGAGCTGATACTCCCTGATTTTTCCCCCTGCACTGCTCAAGGTTGGTTATTCTCATATTAGATATAACCAGTGATGGCTTCCTAAAGCATCATTTTGAAGATGAATCATCTGATAATTGATATTGGTGGGGGGAGAGAGAACACAGGACTCATGGGCAGCATGATAAATGTACGGTTCAAAACAATGAATGTAAATATTTTGATGAAGAGTAAATGAGAATAACTAGTCATGTACAGGAGAACAAATAAAAGATTTCTCAAGACATCGCTTTGTGTATTTTTCCTACCTTGGTCTTAATTTTCCCTTTTCACACTTTTTAAAGGCTACATACAAAATAAAATTTTCTTGAGTTAATTTTTGGCAAGTTTTCAAATTATATGATTCTGGAAATATATGTTATTGCTAATTACATATTTAGGTTCTTACAAATAGTGTAATTCATTGTTATTTGTCCTTAATTCTGATTTCCATTGTAAATTCAAGCTTTATACAAAATGGTTGGATTTGTATTTTGAAAGAAATTTTTCTGTAAGTGCCAGAAATATTTTTTCTAGAAGTAATTGCTTAACTTGTAAATAACTTAAACTCTATTCAATTTCATTAATAATTTGTAGTACTATTTTAATTATTAATATCCATTGTTTGTTTCTTATACAAATATGATTGCTATTCTTTTAAAATGTAATATGGAGTTAATACTGATTTTTAGTGAATTGACAGACTCTGTGGGGTATTTTGTTTGCTCATTAATTACTAATTGCTCCATTCACATTGTCAATTTTACAACATTGGTGTGTTTATTTATGATTAAATTTATCTGAAGCCAAGATCACATCTATTAACTGCAGAATTCTTAGGCAGAGCGTGTATCTTGCTTGTTCTCTCCTTTTTCTGCAATAGAACTCACATTTTCCTTTTGGTAAAGTTTCATAGCTACTGACTGTTACTCACTGTTGGAGGCCAGGAGGAGAATCTTTAGTTAGAATTTTCCTGGCACATTCTTTGACAGTTCAATGAATGTTTATACAAGAAAGGCTATTAGTTGCATATATGAGGCCCATGCCACCAAAACTAATATCCTGAATTACAGATTAATATATCGAAATTTGCAGTTCAATATATTCAAATGTTTCCCTGTCATTAATGGTCATATGTGGAAATTCTGCAAGCTGTCCTGTAAGGTAGTACAAAACATTTCATCATGGGGTATTCTGGAGTCAAAATGGACTATTCCAATTTCAGAATAGATCTTTCTAGAGCCCAATTTTAAAAATTCATTTAAATGCAGATACGATGCGGGCAATACAAATCTTCATTAGTCTTCCAACATATAGTCTTCAGAGGCAGACACTGTCATCAAGCTAATTGTTACTAAACCCCATTATTTCCATGAGTTGATCCAATCCTTTTGTGAAATCAGCATACATATCATGATAGTGAATTCTAAAGTTTAATTACAGGTTGGTTGATTGGGTGTGTAGTCACATATATAGATTTGCCTCCCTGTACTACGAGTTGAAGCTCATCTTCTTCACATCCCATGTCTGGAACATCTACAGATAACAAGCCATGAACCTATAAACAAATATTCTTTTTGGTTTACATAACTGCATAATAGGCCACCTTAAAAGAATATTTTCACTTCCTTTTATAATGCAGAAGTCTTTCAAGTTGATACATTAGGATTGTCATACCAAAATCCACAGAATTTAAGTTTACAAGGCTTTTGCCAAATGTAATTTCATCAGCTCCTATGAGATGTAATCCAATTTATGCCAGCAGTCCATCAATGAGATAACTAAAAACTAAACCTTTTTCATCAATATCAGTTCTGGAATTAATTTTTTATTTGTAGTTTTCTTCCCCACCCCCCACCCCCATTTTTTCTGTGATCTGGAAGGATAGTTGAATCCCTATATTCTTGAAGTTTCTTCCTAGAATTTTAAAGTCTATGGTGATAATATTGTAATTGCTCTTGTTAATATTATTGTCACAACATGTATTAGTAGACAGGTTCACTGCTAGTAGAATTGTTATGTTTTGAAAATCATATTATTAACTCCTTAATTGTGTTTCTCACATTTCATGTGTCTGTACTTTCTGTATTTACTGAAAAATAAGTACATGTATTTTCTATTCTTTGTTGAGTTGATCCACCATTTCCTCTATTTGTTGTTTTGTTTTCATATTTTGACACATTGTAGCTGCATTCCTTCTGTGCTTCAGGGATATTCTCCTTTCCCCTGAAGAACTAGAGTCTACTCCTGAATTAAGTATTTTCAGAAACATCTTTATTCTCTTTTTCCAAATTAGAAAAGCAATTTGTATACAACTTATTATTTATTACTGGTAATGTGGGAGGAAAAAAATAAAAGGCATTGCTAACACTTTTTCTTTTTGTAATTTGATACATTTCCAAGAAACATAACACCAAAGTAATTTATTTAAGAAGCCCCATCTAAAAATACTTTTAATAGTTGATCCTAGGAACAAATCATTTTCAAAGGAATACATACATTTTATGAGATTATTTACTTAAAATAGTTATATTTAAAATATCAAGGTGGATAATTTTTATTCTAGTTGTTGCTAGTCCAAAACGGACTACCTATATAAGAACAGGAATCAAATGGCTATTTCCAAAGATATACATAATGGCTTTAACCTCTACAACAAGAAAATATCATTGGTATAAATTACTGTATTTCTTCTACAGAGGGTGTGGACATCTTTTTTTTCCCAATTTTTTTTTATTTCAATCTGCATATGCATAACAATACATTAACAGTGTGGCATCAATATATCATACATTTTAATATAGGCAAAATTAATAATATCAATCATATATCTCAATGTATATATTTCACATTAATTCATAATCCTTCAATGCTTATTTTCAACCTTTCAAAACTCTCTCCAAATGCCTACCACCATATCAGTTAAACATACCTAGTAATTCCATTATTCAATTTTCTCCCTGCTTTTATTTTATTTTTTAAAATAAAAAATGTTCATTTGCAAGCAGTGGGGTTCCAGGTTTCACATCTCAATACAAACATGACTATAGTTACCTGTTCATTATATTTGTTTAGTTTCATATTGCATCATCCTTATTATTGTTAAATATTAAACTTATCTTATCCAATTCCAATTCATGTTATATTAATACATTCTCATATCTTATTTTACAATGTTATCTCATATTCTTATCTCGTTTCTGTTGTAATTTTTCATATTACTTTTTCTGTCACATTTGTCATTTTATCAATCCTTATCTGTAAATATAATTGACGCCTCTGGTTAATAATTCGAGCTAACCATCTTCATTCTACCTTAATATCAATCTCCCTATCTAGTATATAACACAAATATATATATTTTTCTCAGATTCCGCATTATATTTTCTCAAACACCTTATAAATCATCTATACATTACAAAATACTGTTTTCGATATATTCTTATACATCACAACATATTACCTTGCGGAATCTCCTTCCTTATCCTTTTTTTTTTTCACCTATTATCTCTCACTCTTTGGACAATGTACTTCCTTTTCATCCTCTATTTATTTGTTTATTTTTGTCAATTGCTTACAAGATAATAGGTATAAGTAAAAACATAGTTATGAATACATGGATACATATAAGAAAAATAAAAAAATAAAAGAAACAATAGGACACGGACGGCAGGCACGTTGGTATGCTTATGCACGCCCCCTACAGACCTCTTAGGAAAAAGGTGAGGTCAATAGTAGACAGTCTAAGGTTAAAGTTTTTGGGGTTTGGGGAAGAAACCACAGAGTCAGGTAGAGTATTCCAGACATTGACCACTCTGTTGCTGAAGTCGGATTTCCTGCAATCAAGTTTGGTGCAATTAACCTTAAGTTTGTATCTATTGTTTGCTCTTGTGTTGTTATGGTTGAAACTGAAGTATTCATTGACAGATAGGACATTGCAATGTATGATTTTATATACTTTACTTAGAACCGAAGGCAGCATAGTTCTAGGTTTTCTAGGTCTAGAATTTCGAGTCTGGTGGTATAAGGTATTCTACAACAAGGAGAGGAGTGGAGAACTCTTCTTGTGAAATATTTCTGGACTTTCTCAACTGTGTTAATATCAGATACATAATGTAGGTTCCAGACTGATGAGCTGTATCCAAATATTGGTCTAGCAAATGTTTTGAATGCTCTAGTTATTAGTGTAATATTACCAGAGAAAAAGCTACGTAAGATTATGTTAACAACTCTTAATGCCTTTTTGGCTATGTAGTTACAGTGCGCTCTAGCACTTAGGTCATTTGAGATGAGTACTCCAAGATCCTTGACAGAGTTTGGATCATCAACAAGGTCTTGACTATTTAGCTTGTATTTTATTTTCTGATTTTTTTTGCCAATATATAGGACAGAGCATTTATTTGTTGAGATTTGAAGTTGCCATTTGTTTGACCATTTTGATACATAGTCAAAGTCTTTTTGAAGGGTAGCAGTATTGTCTGTAGTGTACTTTCTTTTCCTCCTTTTTTGTTGCCTCCAAAATTCATCAGCAAAAGAGCTGATTTTTGTGTGCCTCTCAGAAAATAAGATGATAAACCTGCTGGTGGTCCCTGAGAGGAAAGCCACACCAATCCCATCCTTAAAACTACCAAGCCCTCTAAAATGGTCCAAAATTGTGTCACTCAAAATTGGCCATTCTATTGCTAAAAGTCATAAACTTGATATAAGACTATTTGGGAGGCAATTAGGAGCTTTCTAAGGGATGAAAATGAAATAATTTGCTTTGCAGAGGTTTTCTGCTCTAATTCTCTCTGTTAAAATGTAAATTCCAAAAAGTTAGCTCTGTTCTTTTTCTTTACCACCACTCTTCTGGTACCATTTATGGCCTTCATCTTGTCCTGAGAGCAAATTATAGCATCTGCCCCAAGAAAAGTCACCAATTCCTGCCATGGTTGCTTCAGAATAATTGCTTGCTTCAGAATAATGACTAAAGAGAGTATAGCATATGTCAGAAGAAAGTTATTTTAAGAAAATAGTTTGTAGTACAAAATATCTAAGGAAACTATATTATAGGGAAAAAAAGGTTGCCTTAAGAATTGTTCAGATGCAAAAGGAATCCTCCTCTATGCTGACCACAGTACTTACACATAACAATTCAAATCTACAGCCAGAAAACTTGGGAATGGGGGGACTCTATGGCAGGCCTGTCAAATGTGGGCTAGATACGTTACGTGCAAGCCACACCCATCCAGGCTCCACAAAGGCAAAAAATGTTGTCATACATCACAATCCGGCCCATGAGGCAATCAAATTTGACTCATGTTTTACGGCATTACCACAATAAATAATTCTTACAATAGATGGAAATGTATAACCAAATTATACACATATAATACAAAATGACAGAATGAATCTTAAACAAAAAGAATAAATTGACATGAATTATAAAGAAAAATACCAGTAATGGGATCTTCCGAAATTTAGCCACATCCTGCGATTTAACAAATTCACAAGGTGGTAATAATGTCTGCCAGTTAAGTTTATCTCTGAGTCTCAAAATATGCAAAATGGCGTCATCATTAATGGGACCTAGAACAGAACAGAACCAATCAGCTGTAAGCATGACCTAAGGTAACTCTCTGAAGTTATACTTAAATTTCATCAGTGTTAATTAATTTCAACAAATTAGGATATTATAAGTTATTATATAACACAAATGCTTCCTCCTTCAAAATAAAACTGAAAGCATAATTTCTAATATAATTCTTTAAAACAAACTCTAATGCATATTAATCTTTTTCTTTATTTGGAAAACAAAGCAACCAGATAGCTAAAAGAAGAAACCAGTGTTTCTAGCTCTGATAATGAAGAGGAGAAAGGTGAAGAAGGCTGTGTGAATTTGGTTGAGCTCAGTTGTATCACATGACTTAGGATAACATTTGAAAGTAACCATTAAGTTATGTCAATATAGGTAATATAGTGACTTTTGATCTTCAGATATATGTTTAAATATCAAAGTGTATATAAGTATGAATTTCATCATAGTCAAATTATTAAATATGAGCCACTTTTGAAGTAAATTATTCTTCAGCTATAAGGATAAGAAAATATCTCCATCCCATGCCATTCAGGAGATGGGGTAAAGATCTTGATCACGTATCTGGAGGCTGTGCAAATTTGAAAGGATGAAACAGATTTGGAATGAATACCAACAAGAAAAAAAATCCAATTTATTCAGGAACCTATCAAGATAATTCAATATTTAGCTTTGGATAGGATAGCATTCCATCTCAATGAACTGATGTACAATTTGGGAGCCTTCCTGCACTCTCAGTTCTTGATAAGCAGCACATGATCCTTTAGGCAGCTGATTTACCATTCCTAGACATTCCTAGTCTAGAAGATTCTTAAACTTTATGGCTTGGGCCCTTGTTTTGAAATTATCTACACCAGATAGAATAAGCCTGCCTAATATAAGTGAAAAATAAGAAGATTCCCAGCAAGTAATAAGAATGTCACATCTTGCTCATTGTGAAACATTTAGGTCATTCAGGAAAGTAATAAAGACTGAGCTTTCAGAAATCTTTGCAAAGAAGTACAACACAAGCTTGAAAGCATATACAGTTAGCTGGATGATCAGCTGACCAAGCATTAGATGGTTGCTATTTTATTATTGTAATTTTGTGCATTTTTAAAAAATATCTTATAATTCTAAGTGTTCCTATATGAAGTTTGATGTAATATTTAAGGTACTGGCCCAGAGGTCAGGAGATTGAGTTCTAGACTTCCATTAGGCATGAAAACCAGCTAAGTGACTTTGAGCCAATTACTTTTTCTCAGCCAAACCCACCCACAAAGTTGTTCTGGGGAAACTAAGATGCAGGAATATTAGGTATATTTACCACCTTGAATTGAAATGTACAAAAACAATGCAATAAAATAATAATAAGCCCCCAATGAGGCACTACTTTTATGTGATTGTAGTGCTTGTGTGCTTTGAAGAAGATGAGAGTTACACCAAATGTTCAACCATATGGAAAGTTCTCACCAGAGGATCCAAATGAAGAGTGTCTCTCCCATTAAAATACGATGAGACATAATTTACAGAAACCTATAATTTACAGAAACCTATAATAGCTTTGTCAAAGAATACCTAATCAAGAAATATCACCTAGAAACAAGGGAGATTAAGGAAGAACTGGAAATAAAGCAGCAAATAACAATCCAAAAGATCGGCAGGTATGAAGCTCAATTTGCAAATTATAGGCAGAATCTCCAATTTCATCCAATCAGAAACATTTCTATCAATCCATCAACAGAGTTTGCAGTGAAGTGAACACCTGGCAAGAAGAAACAGTGCAGTTCCAGGTGCAGTTATGGGATAACCCAAAGAAATGGCAAGAATTGTTAAAGGAAGTGGTTAAAAATAATAAAGAAGCTGAAATGAAAGATCTTTGATAACAGCAGAAATGGTGGGAAAAAAGAGAAAAGATGAAGAATTGGTCAGCACTAGATCTACACTGGTTTCACTTCACTGATCTACACCCACTGGTTGCTAAGCAATTCAACTACAAGGAAATGAAATTGAAGAGCGGCTAACATCTGGAAAAATGTATTTGATAATGAAAGAATTAGCCAAAGGGGCAGCACCAGGCAACTACAGACCAACTAACTTCTTACCAACAACTTTCAAATTACTAACTGGTGTGCTAGCTGAGTTCAACAGCATCTAGTTGAAAACAAGCATTTAGAAACAAATAAAGTTATAATTAGAAGCCAGCATGGATTTGTTAAAAACAGATCATGCAAAACAAATCTTATTTCATTCTTTGACAAAGTGACAAAATTAGTAGACAGTGAAATGCTGTGAACATAGTATACAAGCAAGGCATTTGACAAAGTAGACCTCAGCCTACTTCTTGGTAAGGTAGAAAAATGTGGGTTAGACAGCATCACTACCAGTTGGATTCATAATTGACTGACAAACCATACTCAACAAGTTGTCCTGTAGCAGTACTAGATCTACATAGAGGGAAGTAGGCAGTGGGGTACCACAAGATTCCGTCTTTGGCCCAGTAGTCTTCAATAGCTTCATAAATCACTTGGATTAGGGAATAGAAGGGGAACTCATCAAATCTGCAGATGACACTAAACTGGCAGTAATAGCCAACACCTCAGAAAACAAGTTCAGGATAGAAAAAGATCTTAACAGACTTGAACAACAACATGAAATTTAATGTGAAGAAAAACAAGGTTTTACACCTAGGCAGGAAAAAACCACAGATGCAAGTACAGATTAGGCAAAAACAGTAACTGTGAGAGGGACCTTGGAATCCTAGTGGACAATCACTTAAACTGAGCTAGCAGTGTGTGGCGGCAGTCAAAAAAGCTAATACAAAATACAAAAAAGCTAATACAAACCTTGATTGTATAAACAGAAGCATAAAATAAAAATCACGTGGAATATTAGTACCTCTTTATAAATCCTTAGTAAGATCACACCTGGAATACTGCATTCAGTTTTGGTCACCACATTACAAAAAAAGATGTTGAGACTTTGGAAAAAGGGCAAAGAACAACAATTAAGATGATTAAAGGCCTGAAGACAAAAACATATGAAGAACAGTTGCAGAAATTGGGTATGGTTAGTCTACAGAAAAGAAGAATTAGGAGTCATGATAGCAGTATTCCAGTATTTGAGGGGCTGCCACAAGGAATAGGGGGTCAACTTATTTTCCAAAGCACTAGAGGGCAAGACAAGAAGCAATGCATGGAAACTTATCAAGGAGAGAAAACCTGAAATTAAGGAGAAATTTCCTAACAGTGAGAACAATTAACCAGTGCACTGAAAGTAGGATACCAGGAAGGTTTACTGAGTATGGGAGAGGTCAGACTGGCCTATAAGAAAAACAAAATGAAAAATAGAAAAGTGGCAAGACAAAGTATTACATAGTCAATACATAAAAAATAGCCGGCAGTTAATAACAAGAGCTGGTAATGGCTAAGATCAGGAAAGTTGAAGAAAGAGACAGGGGGGCTAATTCTGGTTGCACAAAACCTTAAGTATGAATACACACAAAGCCAGAATTGAGAAGATAGCAACAGAAAGCAAATGCCACTTCTGCAAAGAAGTTGAAAAAACAGTGGACAACCTAGTTAACTGCCTCAAGATCACACGAACTGGCTAGAAACAAGGGTATGACAAAGTAGCAACAATGGTGCACTGGAAGATCTTCAAGAAATACCACTTACTTGCCAGCAAGAAATGATAGGTCCATAAAATAGGAAAAAGAAAAAAGAAAATGAAGACAATAAAATGCCCTGTGGACTATATAATTTAAACAGACACTTGCGACATAACACTCCAGACTTAACAATTGTCAATAAGAAAAATAAAAACGTATGGATAATGAAATTGGCAGTGCCTGGAGATAGCAGAAGAGAAGAGAAAGAACTGGAGAAGATAACAAAATACAAAGACCTGCAAATAAAAATAGAACAACTGTATTAACAGAAAGCAAAGATAGTATCAACAGTAAGAGGCACCTTGTGATCACACATATATAATTGAATAACAAAGGATAAAAACTAGAATAATAGGTGATATTTTTAATATTGCTGGCTTCAATAACATTAATGCCATATTTGGCGTTTGATGTACGTACCAGTTTTATCATATGAAGGAGATTTTCTCACCCTGAAAGGTTTGTGTTCACCACCAAACTGAAATTTCATGCATGTCCTTGTATGGCAACTTAGCTGTACTGAAACAGCTTGACTGTCTGTCTTTTTCTTATCATCTGTAACAGCCAATATAAATTCATAAGCATTGTGATTATGCGAAAGACTAGAAGATACTATTTATCTAAAATCATTATCACTCTTGCATTTAATATTCTCTTTGTTATGTCAGGTAGAATTTAACACTATTATCTTTTAACCACAACCTTAATGGAAACAGTTTGGCACAATTGTTGTATCTAGTGAGCAGCAAGTCATTTCATAGTTTCCCAGATAGCTATAGTTTCAGAAGCTTTTGCACAATTCATTAGAACCCAAGTGTTCCTTGCACCAATTTTAATATTTTATTTTCTTCATCCTCCGTTTTCTCATTTTATGTTATGTGCTTCTTTTCTATTTTACCTTCTTCCTCATCTGAGATCCAAATCCAGAACAGAATTTGTGACAGAATAACTCCAAACAACTCTGATTCTGTAGTCCTGGAAAAAATTGTCCATTTTTTGACATGCAGTATATGGGCTGCCCTTAAAGAGCATCTGAAAGCTTCAACCGGCTCAAAAGCTGAAAGGACTGTTATACATGCTCCTCAATCAGCATATATTACACCATTGCTACATGAGGTGTATTAGTTGCTGGTGCTTTTGGCCTAAATTCAAGATGCAGATAGTTACCTAAAAACCATTCATAGAGCTTGGTAAATTGTCCGTCCTTGCATGTGTCTGCCTACTCCATCATAACTGGCAGGAGAAGCATGTTTCAAGTCTTCCCTATTAAAAAGGGGCCGCCTAGCTAGGATCCCAAAACCTTTTTCTGTCCCTGTACCTGACCAGGGGAACATCACCAACAACATGTCCTCAACCCTCTAGGCCTTTAAGTTCTTAG